TCCCCTCCTTGAGAAGTTTTCTGCCATCACTTCTGTGAAGAGTTTTTTTATGTCATCTGCACTCTCTCCTCTTTCTTCATTGACTCCAAACAGTCTTATGTTATTCTTCTTTGCATCGTCTAGCAGCTGCTGGATTGATTTCTCGTGGTCCCTTACAATTTTAAAGGAATTTTTCTTTTCCTGGTCACTAATTGCAATCTTATCTTCTGTATCTGAAATTCTGTCCTCACATTGGTTCATTCTGCTGCGTAGACTTTCAAGTGAGTTTTTAATCTCCCGGGAATCTGTTTGTATCTGTTTTATGGATTCCATTTGTTTCCTATGTTGGGATTCCATCATGTTCCTCAAATCCTCTATTTTTTTATATGAGTCCTCTCTATATTTATTAATAATGTCTTGCACTATGGGCACAATCACTGCTGTTATCTGAGAAATTATATCTGATTTCATTTTTTCCAGATCGTCTTTTGTTGCCAGTTTAGAGAGTCCAGGTGGTTGAGTATCAGATTGTTCCATCTCATTTCCCTTTCGGGTTGCTTAGGTGATCCGAAAGTCTGTTTTTGAGGCTTGTTTACATGTTTTCTCATTTCCACAGGGGGCGAGGTGCGTGCTGCTGGCACCCATGTGGCTCACCTCCTCTCCTAGGAGTGGTGGAATGGCGGCAGGGGAGCCTCCTCTTGGGCGCTGGGATTGGCTCACCTCCTCTGCCCTAGGAGCGGTGGAATCTGCATTGTGCTTTTAATGTGCATTTTCCTGATGACTGGATAGGTTGATGTCTCTGTTGCTTTCTTGTTGCTGGGCCTAAATACCTGACACCCACAGGTTAAAGGAGAGATTTATTTTGCCTCATGGTTTTTAGAGATTTCAGTCCATAGCCAACTCAACAGCAGAAATAGCATGGCACAGGGTCATAGTGGAGGAAAGCAGCTCATTTCATGGTGGTCTGGAAGCAGAGAGTGAAGGGAGGAGCTGGGAGGGAGACTGCCCTTCCAAGCCACACCCCCAGTGGCTGCCTCTTCTGACAGGCACCACCTCCTAACAGCAGGTTTAGCTCTGAGCTCTTCAGTGGGTAAATCCACCCATGAGTGTAGCTCCTAACCATGATCTGGTCCCCTTCCTAAAACCCCACCTCTGAACACATGAGGCTTTTGGGGGACATTCTAGATCTAAACTGTAATAGTGGAGATCTTTTCTTATCATTTGGGTTTTCTCTTTGATTAAATAACCATTGAAACTCATGGATTTTTTTATGGATATAAGATTACTTGTAGTAAGTCTGTTTTACTCAGATTTCCAGCCCTTTGTCAGGGATGTGCTATACATGTCTTTTGCTCAGCCTTTCTATCTGTAGTGTGGCTCAGGGAACACAAATTATATCCTGTTTCATGTTTTATTTCCTGGTTCCTGCCTTCTGTGTTATCTTTAAAGACTCTTTTCCTGCTGAGCACGGTGGTGCACACCTGTAATTCCAGCGCTTGGGAGGCTAAGACAGGAGGATCATTACTAGTTTGAGGCCTGCCTCAGCTGCATAGTGAGTTCAAGGCCAGCCTGAACTACAGAGCGAGACCCTGTCTTTAAAAAAAAAAGACTCTTTTCCCTAGGCCTCCATCACAGTTATTTGATTAGTTTTGGAAAGTCTTGTTTCTAAAACATTAGTTTGTTTTGTTCATGTTACAGGGACTGTTCCTCTGGAACTCATAGTGCATTTTTGTTTTCAGGGTAGAGATGGGTTCCAGGGTCAGCCTTTCAAGTCAGATCACCAGCTGTTCCATTCGTATCTGTAGGAAGGTCCACCTGTCCCACTCTGCTGCGGTGACATTTGGGCCCTCAGTTCAGGAGTCCACACTTGTGGGATTTGGCCTTATCTTTTCTTTTCTCTTTTCTCCTTCCTTCCTTCCTTCCTTCCTTCCTTCCTTCCTTCTTTGCTATGGATTGAACCCAGGACCTTCACATTGAGCTACACTTAGCCCTTTCTATTATTCTTATTATTTTTTTAAATTTTGAGATGGAATCCTGTCTCTAAGTTGCCCAGTGTTGGCTTCAACTTGTAATCTTCCTGGCTCAGCTTCCCAGAGTGCTGGGATCACAGGTGTGCCTGGTTATCAGGGGACCTGTCTTGTACTTGTCCTTTTACCTATGGACTGACTGGCCACCCTTATCCCAGGCCAAGCTTTCTTGATAACCGTTCCTGAGACCCTTCACTTTATAATGAGCCTCCACATCATAGTCTTCCCTTCTCATCTTTTTCCAGGGCCTTTTAGCTCTTTTGCCCTGCATATTTCAGGGATAGTTTTAGAATTAGCTTGTCAAGTGTCACATCCTACCTACGGAGATTTCAATGAGCATTGCTTTGAATCTGTTTGAGCATTAACCCCTTTACATTATTGAGCCTTTTGTCTCAATAATGCTTTATAATTATCTATGAGACTTTTCTTGTTTCTTGTTACACATAGTCTAAGCTATTTAGTATGTATGTTTTAATGCAATTGCTATGGTATCATTAAAATGTTTACTTATTATTCTCATATAAGATAACCAAATCAATTATATATTGATACTGGGTATGATTTGTGAATATCTTTGGTTATGCTGTTGTGGCTGCCTTGATATCCTAAATTGATTTGAAACTTTTCTCTTTCACGGTCATTTTGACTTTGGGGAAGAGCTGGAAGTTGCATGGTGCCAAATCTGGTGAATAAGGTGATATGAGGACACAGCGTCATGTTTTTAGGAGCCAGCCTTATCATTGGATGGCACTCAGTGACAGCATTTATCATATTACATCATAAAGACATTCACAAAAGAAGACTCTAGAACTGCTTCAGAAAGTGGCAAGAACGATGAAATAAGTGTGTTGAAAGTGAGGGGAAGTATTTTGAGGGGGATTAATGACAATGTATCTTTTACTGTAAATAATTTTTTAAAAAATTTAAACATTCAATATATTTTTTTTTTTTTTTGGTACTGGGGATCGAACTCGGGACCTTGTGCTTGCAAGGCAGGTGCTGGAACCACTGAGCTAAATCCCTGGCCCATTCACCACATATTCTGATCACACCTCAGATAGCCACAGACTTCCTAAATTCACTTATAAAAGATTCACAAGATACACGATTGTATCATCCACAAGCAAGGGCAACTTCATTTCCCTCCCATGTTCCCCTCACATCCCCTTACTGCTGGCTCAGGTGCTCAGTAAGATATTGCAGGGAGACCTGCTTGGCTGGGCCCTGCCCTTGGGGAAGCTGCAGTACTGACCGTTGACTGTGACGTTTCCTCTTGGGTTTTAGATGCCCTTCATCATATTAAGGGAGCTTGTTTCTTTTTACTTCTAGCTTAAGAAGGATTTTAAAAATAATTTAAATCATAGTGATTGTTCATTTCTTCCATTTATTGAGATTTTCATCTTTATTAATGAGACAAATTATGTGAATTTTCTCTTAAATCTCTTTGTATTCTTGGGCTAAAGTGACTTGATCACAATGCAGTACTTCTTTTATATAAAGCTGGATTCAGTTTGTAAATCTTTATGTATTTTATTCATTAACATCTTGAGTTGATCCTTAGAAGTAGGCTAAAACAGTACTGTTTTCTGAGTTGAAATTTTTTCTCAGGTCCCGTAGTTCAAGCACGTTACAGTGTGGCAGCTAGTTTAATATCATCTACTATGGACTTTGAGCATTCACTCCTAGGGGATGGCTGCCCATGGCATGCTTGTGCCACAGGACTTCGAGTGGGACCAAAATGTGCCATTTGTGTTACATCTTCAATATACTGTGCAGGGTGAGGTTGAGGCCATGTTAGGGTCAGGAGGAAACTTGAGGGCTTCATCCTTCCTACTTTGTTATCACCCCCACCTCTGTCCACCTCCCCAGACGCCTCTAGGCCCCCTCACCTCTCCCCTATCGTGGCTTCTGTCTTCTTCCGCCCGGCCTTCTGTTGTGGAGGACTCACCAGGACTGGGTGCTGGACATGGGGCCTGCTTTCGAGGAGGGCAGTGTGTGAGGCCGCACACTCATCAGCAGCTCTCCTGAGTAAACCACAGAGGGGAGATAGGGCCACCCCATGGACTGCATGAAGATTGAGTACCTATCAGTGGTGTGTGTGGTGGAGGGGTATTTAATGTCACGAGAATGCGTGCACAATGCAGTGTCAAGTGAAAAAGGCAGGGTGAACTATGATCCCATTTCTTGAAAATTATACATACAGGTACAGTACATATGTATATAACTATATACTTATACCGAATACCGCTGTATCTGCTGACTTTCTTATACTCTAAATTTCCATATTAAAATCCCATTTTAATTTTGTATTAAGAAAAATAAATATTTTTATTTTTATTTATTTTTAAGAGAAAACTATGATGTTCATTATGCTCATTGTTCAGAATAGTTACCAGTTGGAAACTGAATTTCCAGTAACAGGTTAATGGTGTGTTATGGGGTATGATGATTGCAACATTAAAACATTAACTAGTCACTTCGTAAATTTTATATTGCTTGGCATTTTTATTTAATTTTTAGGCAAACTTTGGAGTCGGAGTTTAAAACTGGCTTATACTCTTCTTAACAAACTGACCAGTAAGAGTGAACCACTGCTTACGCCCGGAGACAGAGTGAGTACGCAGAGTGTGGCTCTGTCAGAGTGAGCAGAACACAGACCAAAGTCTCACTGAAACCAGTTCTGTTAGATGGTTAGGGTTATAGTATTGATGCGAGGGACTTGAAGTCAGCAGTGAAAAATATTAAACATGTAAAAAGTTTATGATGTAGAGTAAAACTATCATTCTTATTCTCCCACGTTATCCATCCTCTGATTCTCTAAATTCTTTTCCATTTGACTTTATGTATGTTGATATTAATAAATGTTGTTTCCAACTATTAGACTTCATGAGCTGATACTGCCCATACTTTTACAGCCTAAATGTTTTATATTTGTCTCCTTTCCCATCTCGGGTGGCTAGGCAAACTCTTCTTGTCTTTCTGTCAAACAGAAGCAAAAGAAACTAGAAGCTGATTTCCTATCCTGCACTGCCCTACGTGGTTGGCAGTAGTGACATAAATTAATCAAATTAAATAACTAAATAAAACCAAAAATTTAGTCCCTCAGCCACACAAGTCGCACACGAAGGGCTTAGCAGCGGTATGTTTGGCTGGTAGCTGCTGTGTCTGACAGTTTAGAGGTGGAACATTTCCGTCACTGTACAAGGTGCTGTCGGGCTGCACTGCCGTAAGCAAGCTAAACAGCCTTGACATTCCAGGTTTGCTGAAAAGCAGGGGAATGTGGTGAAAACTGACATACAAACCAGCGAGACCCCCTAGTGACAAGATAGCCCAACAGGGAAACAGCGGGTTAACAAGTTGACAGAAAGTTCTGAGAAATTCTTCCATTGTCTCCCCCTTTAATGTAAGCTATGGCCAAGTGCATTCCAGAGGGAAGAAAGAAAGTGGAGAGAGAGGGTGTGAGAGAGGAAGGAAAAGAAGGGAGGAAGAAAAGTTAAATGTAGAAAACAAATTTTCTAAACATTAGTATCCCTGGAGATATGAGAGGAAGATACTGTTCCATAAATCAAGTAAATGATGTCAGTGGGAAAGACCTAGTGGTGGAAGTTAGGAGGGAGAATATGACCAAATTAAACACTTAATTAAGAAGGCCAGACTGATTAGAGGAGTCCAGAAAGAGAAAGGAGAACAGAAAGCAGAATGCTTTGAATGACAGTAGCACTATAGAACGAGGTCCTGGACCTGGAGAGCATTACCATACTGAGTGAAGACAGCAGGTTCCCTCCAAAGCACATAACTCCTGTGCTGAGCAGCACCAGGGGTACAGAGAAGAATTGTGCAGCTTTGGGCGGGGTTGGGGGGGTCCAGCATACGCAGAGACTCAGCAGTCACAGTGCCTTTGGGACTTCTGTGTGGTAAAGTTAAAACAGAGTAAACTGCTGATTGAAATCCAGAAGAAGTATGGCTTTTAGCCCACAGTTCTAGTCCAGCATTCAACAAATGTAAGGATGGTGTAATCATTTTCAGACATGCAGGACTCAAAATAACTTGGCTTGCAAGCATTCTTTCCTGGAAAGTTCCTAGAGGATGTGCTTCAGCCAAATGAATGAGTGGGGTCCAAATGAGAAAGCCACATGGAGGTCCCCGGATGACCCCTGGTAGCAGTCATGGGGCAGCCAGGCAGGACCAAGAGGACTGGGGTCTCACATGGGGGTGAAGTAGTTGGCAGCACTCAGCTGGCTGGTTATTTGAAACATAATGCTGATAAGCATTTGACCTGTGTCAAGCATTTTAGGACAAGTTGGCCAGCACATGTAGAAAAAGCAAAGCAAGTAAAAATAGCAGTGGCTATTATCATCAGAAAGATGTATACTTGGCTGAAAAATATAAACCGTGTGAGAATGATGCTTTATAGTTAAGTTGTGCTTATCAGTAAGATTTTATGTTATGCTTTAGAAGGGGCCTAGGAATCCCTGATTTATGTACTTGAGCATGAATCTAAGAATCACACTTATTTTTGCTTGGAAACTGTTCTTGCAAGGATGAAAACTTCCAGATACTTTCTTGACTTGCAAGAGAATCCATGTGGTTATGTTAATCATGAAAAGATCCACACAGTTACAGTGAGTTAATCAGAGATTGGTGGCAAATTTAAGCTCCTATGCTAATTACTCATAAAAGTGAATAAATATACCTCTTTATAACAAATTCTCTAAAATACTCTTTTCCATAACAAACATCTAGTCTCAAGGTTGTAAGTCATATTTCTGGGCCAACCACTATTAAATAAACCAACTTTTGAAAGACAGCTTGTCCTTTTTAACAGTTGCGCTTGTTACAAACTCACTTTGTAGACCTAAGTACAGAATGAAGATAGATAGAGCTTGAACTCTGTCTTATGACATGGCAGCATTAAGCCTACTCAGTTAAGTACCTCCCTGACTTGCTATGATTTCAAGCACAATTATTACTATAATATTTAAGAGTTATAAAAGTCTATGAATAGCTTTAAATTTGATGAGATATTATTAAAAAAATGGAAATTGGGATGATGGGAGAAGGAAAGGGGGAAGAATGCATGAAGGGTAAATATTCATCTAAAATAACAAGAAGCAAGGTAGATACATAAACATTTTCAAAAATAAAATATACAAAGTCTTTGTAAATAGGGAGGGTTGGAGGGGTTGAAGGGAGGGCAGGGGAAGGGAGAAAAATAAGAACCAAGAGAGATTATGTAAAGGTGCAAATCTCCAATGATGAATGTCATTATATTGTATGCCTAAAATGTACCAATAAAATAAAAATTAAAAAAATAAAACGCAAACATATTATTTTAAATATGAGAATAAATAACAGCCAGGGATTTAGCTCAGTGGCACCACACCTGCCTCGTAAGCGCAAGGTCCTGAGTTCAATCCCTGGTACCAAAAAAAAAAAAAAAAAAAAAAAAAAAAAAAAAAAAAATAACAAAAGAAAGATCCAGATTCAAAATATTTTTGAAGAATGGTAAAGGGTAGGGCATGTGGCTATTATTTTTCATTAACATTTTTGTCATTTTAAACTCTGTTGTTGTTTTTTTTGGTACTGGGGATTGAACTCTGGACCTTGAGCTTACGAGGCAGGTGACGGAACCACGGAGATAAATCCTCGCCCCGAAACTCTGTATTTTTGAAATTTTTGATACAAATTGCAATGTAAGAAAAATAAAATAGAGCTGATAATTTACACAGTAGCACCGTGGAGCCCAGGTGGGCGGAGGGAGGCTCCTGGGTGAGGGCTGCCCTTCCTGCCGCCCCTTGCACAGACGGTTAAGTCAGGAGTCAAGATCTGTTCAGTTAAAACTTGGGTGCAGGATTGTTCTTCTGGAAGCTATTATTTCAGATATAATTTGATTCCTTGTTCACTTTTGTGTTGGAAAAGGGGCTTTTCCAGCTGGGCTAACTGATGGTGAGTGGTAGCCAGTATGGATAAGAATGGACTGGTTCTCTGGCCAGCATAGATTGGACTGCCTTAGCCTGCAAATTTAAAATTACTTTGTTGCATGTGGAGTAGAGACTAGTACCGACAAAGTATTTATTCAAAGTTACATCAATAAGAAAATTTAAGGGTCAAGAATTCCAAGATTAGATTTTCTGAAATAAAATTGGAAAATAATTAAAAAAATGTGAAATGTCCAAGTTCCATTTGGTCAACAGAGATTTTACAAGTTGAAAAGACTCAATCATTCCCCAGTAGATATCATGATTTTTCTTTGTACCTTTGTAGGTGGCACTCGTGTTTCCAAATAGTGACCCTGTGATGTTCATGGTTGCATTTTATGGATGTCTCCTGGCAGAGCTGGTTCCTGTCCCCATCGAGGTGCCGTTAACGAGAAAGGTAGCAAACTTGGGCCAGACCTGGGGCTTGGTCATCTGCAGTTCCATTCTGAACTTGATACACCAGGCTGCGGTGCCCCCTTGGGGGTGGTAGTGGCAGGCAGGCCAGCCAGGATGCCTGAGAGCACTTAGATGCAGTTTGCCTGCAGACTTCTTCCTGGCAGAGATTCCAGACACTCTCTGGTTAGGAACAACTGTCCTGTCACCCATTTGAATTTCTCAACAGAAATGATGGGGCTTGGGCCGGGGATTTAGCTCAGTGGTTCCGGTGCCTGCCTTGAAAACATAAGGTCACGAGTTCGATCCCCGGTACCAAAAAAACAAAACAAAAGAAATGATGGGCCTTTTTTCCTTTCAGTGAACAGAATTTGTGACTCAAGAGTTTGTTAAACTTTTACTCAAAACCAAATGATTGTTGATGATTTTAGTTTGAATAAGCTGAATGGAAATTCTTGTGCTTTTCTATTCACTTACACGACAGAAGGGAGTTTTATTGCTGATAAATTATTAATGTGGAGGATGTGCTCCTGTTCTAGGTAGCCATACCATTTTAGATATAAATATCAGTAATTTGATTGTTGAAACAAATATCACCTTAGAAGTAGAGTTTTCTATCATCCTGTCCCAGTGTTCAGGTTGTTAAAATGAGCACTGTAAACAACAAATGTCCAAGAGTCCCACAAATAAAATTGGTACATCTCTAAGGACAGTGTGATAAATCAGGTGTTTGAATACCGTGTTTTTTAGGAAAGAAACTAGAGATTTGTAAAACTTACATGAAGAAAATGATAGAATTTAGGTGAGGGACGTGCCCAAAGGAAAATTTGAGTGAAAGGAGAGGTGTTCTTGTGTAAAAATGATTATTATTGTTGTGTCAGGCTTCCCCTGATTAATTTAGAAATTTCAAACATGAGTCAATAGAAATTTTAATGCTGTTATTTTTAGAGTTTATTAAAATACTTTTAAATGCCATAAACTTGAAAAAATTAGCCCCTTATCTAGACCTTTATATTTCATTGCAAAAACAAAAATATCTTTTGAACTTAGAAACAGTTGTCATAGTTTATGAACTGTTTCCATGAAAATGTAGTAATGTGCCAGCAGCAGGCTTGGATTTTACGGTGGGTGAGGAAACTACTCTGTTCTCGATTACGGCATGGAGCCCTGGTGGCACTGGTGGTGGGACTGTGGCTCCTTCCAGCTTCCCATTTCTCTGTGGTTGCTATTTCTGCAGGACGCAGGCAGCCAGCAGGTTGGGTTTCTGCTGGGCAGCTGTGGAGTCGCCCTGGCCCTCACCACAGATGCTTGTCAGAAGGGCCTGCCCAAGGCACAGACAGGAGAGGTGGCGACTTTCAAAGGTACGGCCCCCAGGGAACAGAGGAGTCATGGCTTTGGCTTCTGTTAATCTATACCCTCTAGGCAGTCCAGAAATTAAGCAGTGCAGAGCTGGCAGGTCTTCATCAAAAGTGATACCTTGTACACTGGATCTCCATTTCTGTCTAGTTCCATGTCTCCACCTGTGCTGTCCAGTGTGATGATCATTAGCCAGGTGTACCTACATAGATCAAAAGAAAATGAGACTAAAATTTGAGTTCCTAAGTTACCCAAGGCTGGTGGCTGCGTGTAGGACACAGGCTCCAAGTGTGGAGAACAGAGCCTTCTGACTGCCAGTGATGCATATCCCGTCTTCTGTCATAGGCTGGCCTCCCCTTGCCTGGCTGGTGATCGATGGGAAGCACCTGGCCAAGCCCCCCAAGGACTGGCACCCTCTGGCCCAGGACACAGGGGCTGGGACTGCCTATATTGAGGTAAAGACGCCCCTCAGTCAACACACAGACCTATCCCCATGGAGTTGGATTTCTTTTTCGTAAGATAGCTGTTTTCTTTTTCTTTTTTCTTTTCTTTTCTTTTCTTTCATTTAAGGCAGAGTTCTCCTTAGTTATACTATGCCCCAGAAATATATAGTGCCTTATAGAACTGTACTAAGATCCTTTCAGGTTTAATCTGCCCTACTTCTCCCTTAACTGGGCCCCTGAAGTGCAGACAGTAATGATGGAACGTGTGCACTTCCCCCAGACACCTCAGGACCAGGCTGTAAAGTGCTTTGGGTGCCCAGCAGCCACAGCTGCTATTTTAAAAATCCTTCCAGCCTCTGTTCTGCCCACTGTGGCCTCTGAAAACACCATATAACATTGTTTTCCTTTGAAATCTTACAGTATAAAACCAGCAAAGAAGGCAGCACAGTGGGTGTCACGGTATCCCATGCATCCCTACTGGCGCAGTGCCGGGCGCTGACCCAGGCGTGTGGGTACTCAGAAGGTAAGGGGACAGGCGGGTGTCAGCTCCTCCTCCCTTGCATAGGTCTCTGATGTTCTTGATCCCACCCTGGATACTGTCACTCCCATGTGGCACCCAGCCTTGGGAGTTGCCTTTGCCCTTTTCCCAGCTGTGCTGCACAGGGAGGCTGCTGTCCTGTGGCATGCCAGGGTCTCTGCTTATGCTGCCAGGAGCATAAGGTGTCTCAGCTGAGCCTGGGCAGCCACACTGGGACTGTCTTCAATCAAGTCATATGCATATTAATTTTAGGGAGCATGAACCTACTACACACCAGTGATTTATTTGCACGGTGGGTTGGCTCAACCTGTGAGGTACCAAAGGATGGTGCGTTTTGCATTATGAAGAGCGGAAAACGGCTTGGGACATGTTTCCTCTTGTGGTATCTGTGAGAGTGGCTTTGGCTTAAGCTCTCCTGCATGTAAACGCTTCAGTGGAATCTGTCTGGTCATCCATTGTCTCTTGGTAAAGTATAGGTGGCTCCCAATTTACTGTTAAACATCAGATATTTAACTTAGAGAAGTATTTTTAAATTAATATTTTATAGTGATAGATAATAATTATATGTATTTATGGAGTACAGTATGAAACATTTTACAAATTGTAAAACTATACTCATGGTGGTTTTCTTACATTGCAATACTAGAATTGAACAAAATGAGAAAGTAAAATTGGATGTGTGTTTAAATGTCTGCAGTAGGGATATTTAAAAGCAAGGGGTAGCTTTTGGATCTGTTAGACTTTTTTTTTTGTACCAGGGATCGAACTCGGGTCCTTGCGCTTGTGCAGCAGGTGGCAAAACCACTGAGCTAAATCCCCGGCCCTGAATCTGTTAGACTTTTATGGAGACTTGGAAAAGGACTTCAGATATTTCCAGGGGTTTTAATAATTTTTAAGTTGGACCTATCAAATCAAGTTCTGTGAGTTCTTTTCCCTCAGCTCTAGTGCTGATGTAATGGGTGTTACTGCTAATTTGGGGACTGTAGCTGACAAGGAGAGGAGATTGCACCACTGATACTTAGAATGCAGCAGCACTTCTGGCACATAAACCAGACCCCTCTGCTCACCCTGCGTCTGTCTTAGGGAACACCTGGGTGCTGGTGGCCTTTAGAGAGGAACTGGGTCTGTCCACAGCCCCGGGTGCTGTCCTCTGCCCTGAGTGAGGTGGCAGCCAGAGGACCTGGCTGGGGCCTCTGAGCAGAGGACTGTTCAGCTCCCTGCAGGGCATTAGCTATTGCCCCTGGGTAAAGGAGCTGCAGAGGAGGAGGAGTAACTGTCTGGAGATGACCAAGCCACTGCTGTGCGAGGCAAGATGCAGGACCCTGGCCTCTGGGTGTGAGAGACACTGAGAGGCACAAGTATCCATGGTAAAGTATGTGGTGACATATCATACAGTTTCTTCAGTGTATGGCATTCCCTGTAGCCTCAGATTCATGATAAGGATTGTCCTGAATTTCAGTCCAAAATTGTGTGCTTCCAGTAATTTCAGTAGACAACAAAGATTATTGATTAATTGGTTTGGTGCATGGTGTTTGGAAATGCTATTCCTGCCTTCTCAAACTCTTACGTGTTTGTGATATACTCATCTCAGAAATCCTCTAGAAAATGTGTGGGGTTTGTGAAGTGCTGCTCATTGGTTTAACCTTCTTTGTCTGCTTTCAGCTGAAACATTAACAAATGTGTTGGACTTCAAAAGGGATGCTGGTCTGTGGCATGGAGTGTTAACAGTGAGTGTTGTTTGCTAATGACTAGCTTTGTACCCAGTGGTGAGCCAAGCCTATGGAATAAGAGGTGTGTGGATGTGTTGGTTTGATTTTGCTTTTCTGGTGTGGCTTAATCTGGCTCACCCTGGTGGGTCCATCTCTCTCTCTTTCTGGCTCTCAGAGTGTCATGAATAGGATGCATGTTGTCAGCATCCCCTATGCACTGATGAAGGTCAACCCGCTCTCCTGGATTCAGAAAGTGTGTTCCTACAAAGGTAATGCACACTGCCCTCCCTTGACTCATCCTTCGGTAAGACATCTCTTTTGAACTGATCTTTGGTGACTAAGGAGGAACAGAGCCAGTATATGGAATTGCAGTGTGGGCTGAGGCGCCTGAGCCACCCGTGCTGATGAGCTGCCTGTGGTGACAGTGGTGCTCCATCAGGTCTCCAGGGCAGCACCAAGTGCAGCAGTCTCTCCTTGTCCTGTCTTGGGGAAAAGTGGGTGGGACTCACTGGATGGTGCAGTCGGCACAAAGGGCCATGTCCACACATTCAGATCTCAGGCTTCTCCCACCTCTCAGCCTGGCAGCCAGGTGATACAGTGGGTAGTGGGGCTTACTGAAACCAGGGCCAGTGCCTGGGGAGGGAAGGGCACGAGGTAAAATGGGCAAATATGCATGGAGCAGTAGAGAGCTTCTGAGAAAAAAATAACAAGTTGAAAATGCTTGTATAGATCACATCCAAGTTATATCTCGAAGTTGACTTTTTAAGGGCAGAGGGCTGAGGTCGGCCAGATGGTGTGTGAGAAAGAGCTGCAGAGAAGGCATGCGACCTGGGACAGCAGCTCCTGTGCCCTCTGTGCTGCCTCTCTGCCTCTGTCTGGAGCACCAAGGTGCCCACTCTCCCAGTGACACAGGGATGTCTGTGCTGCCTTCTCTGTAGCCCGAGCTGCACTGGTGAAGTCTCGTGACATGCACTGGTCACTCCTAGCTCAGCGAGGCCAGAGGGACATCAGCCTCAGCTCCCTGCGCATGCTGATTGTGGCCGACGGTGCCAACCCATGTGAGTAGGTGCTCCACACCCCTTCCTGAAGACTTTGACACCAGATGCATGGCCAGCCTGTTGAAATAGAATCTGTGGAGAAACAAAATTAAGGCATTTTCACTGTCATTGTCACATAAAATAGAAAAGTTTAGGTCATATTACTCATTTTCCCCTATGTAGTCCATCTCTTGGAAAATATGGGGTGCACAGTACTGTGACCCTCACAGACCCTCCATCCTACAGCTCTGCCTGCATTTCAGCTCCCTACCCAATGCTGTAGGCCGTCCACGTTCCTGCTTGGACCCACCACAGTCTGTGCCATAGAGTCTGAGTGTGCCACCCCCTCAGTGCCTTCTCTGGGCACTGGCAGTCCTGCTGTGGCTGTACTCTGTCCATGTTCCCTGCAGCTCCTGCAGCTCTTCCACATCAGCCTCAACATACAGTTCCTCTGCTGTCCTCAGAATGCCTGTCTGTCCCTCTCGCACTGAACAGTCTGTAATCACCTCTCCTTAGAAGATGACTGTGCATCTCCCTAAGAGCATGAAGTCTGAGGGCCACTGAACAGCTCCTTCCTTTCTGTTCTGCCCTGGGTTAGAAGAGGTGTATGGTCCTAGGACTGTACCACCTTGAGCTCTGGGAGTTTACACATCTTTAACACCCAGTCCTGAGGCCTGCCACCCTACATCACCCAGCAGGAGCCTCCCCAGAGGAGAGGATGTTGAGGGAGAGGAGAGACAGTCCCTGGGTGGATGCAGAAGTGGCCTTGCAGCCAGCCATGCAGACTGCACAGTCCAAGGCTGCTGCAGCCCTCAGGCGCCCAGGCTGAGCCTTGTTGGAATGTGAAAGGTCTGGGTCACAGACGTCCTCAGGTGCCCGGGAGAGTCTGCTGCCCCACAACACGAAGTTCAGGAGGCTTTTCCCAGAACCTGATCTTAGAAGGCAGGGGCGGGCAGGCCTCTGTAACACACAGGGCTAACAGTAAAACCTCTTAAGGGATTTCCAGTCTCTTAAGCTCTGCCTCTCTGAACTATAACTTGCCTTGTGATAGGCTTACTGCAGGTGGGACAAGGGAAATGTTTGCAGCCACCAGAGCTGTGGGCACCCTGGAGATCTAGTATTGGCCCCTGATGTTGGCCCCAGTTTCCACTCATGTTCCTCTTCTGTTGCTTCGTGCAGGGTCTATATCTTCCTGTGATGCCTTCCTCAATGTCTTCCAGTCCAGAGGCCTGAGGCCAGAGGCCATCTGCCCTTGTGCCTGTTCTCCTGAGGCTCTGACGGTTGCCATCCGCAGGTAACTCACCTGCTGCATCTTGGGAGCACTAGGTTTGCTAACTCATTTCTAGCAGTAGGAATCTTGAGGCAGTGCCTGTTCTCATCAGTGTGTCAGCCCATCTCTTCAGCAGTTGTATGGCCCAGGCCCCATGCCCTCCCCAGGCTGGACTTGCACAGGGAGTTGGGTCCTTGGACTGAATAGTGGGTTCTTGCAGGGTGCTGGCTTCTTTCCAAATCAAGAAGATGTTGCTGTGTCATCCTTAGCTGTAGTAAACAGTGTAACTGAGGAATTGCCCCTCACTCTGAGGGAGGTGCCCGTAGCCATGAAGTCTGTCCAAGCCCCTCCTGGAGAAATGCTGCCCTTGGTTTCCTGGTGCTGTGATGTAATGGCTCACCATAGCCTTTGAAGCTTAGAACAGTGGCACTTATTTCCTCCAGTGCTGTGGGCCAGGGATCTGGGCAGGGCTCTTCCGGGCCACAGTGGTGCAGAGAAGTGGAGTCTGGAGCTGTGGAGCTAAGAAAGCTCTGCATGTGCAGTCTCGGGGCTCCTTCCTCTTGTCTCGAATGGGTGACCTCTGCTGGTCATTCTGCTCACCTGGCTGCCCAGGGTTCCGTGTGAGTACCCTAAGATGACCAGTGGAGGCTGAGCACCTCGAATGACCTGCCTGGGCTATTGCATGGCACCCCCTCCCCTGTACTCTCGGCTACCTCCAAGGGCACACTGCAGAAGTGGTTTGGAGACTTCATCTTGAAGACGTTAGAACACACAGGCTCCTGACATTGAGCAGTTATTTGGTGTGGAATTGTGCTGTGGCCAAGGTAGGCCATTAATGCCCTGTCCTTAGAGGGTTACCTAGCCCCCACTCAGGTAGCCTGCTGGTGCTCATGTTTCAGACCGCCTGATCTGGGAGGACCTCCTCCAAGAAAAGCTGTCCTGTCAATGAATGGCCTGAGCTACGGTGTGATCAGAGTTGACACTGAAGAGAAGTTGTCAGTCCTGACCGTTCAGGATGTTGGCCAGGTGATGCCTGGAGGTAAGAAACAACCAGATGTCTCTGCATCCTGCAACCGGTTGATAAAACAAACAGAGTCACAGATGTTCCAGGCTTTGTAGTAATGTTCTAGAAACAAGAATACAAGTAAGATTTCTTTTAAAAATTTCCAATTTGTAAAATATTTTTAATGTAAAAAAATATTTTCCAATTTTAAAACCACAGTCTGCAGCCCTGTGGCAGTGAGCCAAGGTATGGGGTGATAGAGTGACCTTCCTGCAGATGCAAAGTTCCACTGAGGAGATAAGACAGCCTGGCTGGCCCAGGGGACCTCAGTGGTGCGCAGAAGTGGGAGACGCCACTCCTTCTGTTCTGTGGTTGCTCCTCACTGCAGCTCTACTGCTGCTCCCACTGCCCTCTCCCTATGACAGCCGCTCTGGGGTTACAGGCAGCTGTCTTACCCTTCTCAGTGACTTCTAGAAGCAAGGCCCCATCTCTCACCCGGTCACTGAATATATCATTTTTGAACAACTGTACCTCACAAAAGGATCAGACTTTTTTTTGGAATTGGGGATTGAACTCGGGACCTCATGCTTGCCAGGCAGATACTGTGCTGCCGAGCTACATCCCTGGCCCGGATCAGACTTGTAGAGTGCTTGAATCTGTGGATAAAACATTTTCAAAAATACCAGAGAATAGTTTCAATATTTGCAGCTATTATGACGAAGTACAAGTGACTCTTGTAAACCTTCCTTGAAGATGTGGTGGGTAATTACTTTGAATAAATATAGAAAGTGTCCAGAGATGTGCTCACCTTCATTATCAGTGTAGATTACAGCAGGACACGCACATTGTCCCCTGGCATGTGTGTGTAGTTACATCTGGGCATATGTGTACGGTGACCCCTAGGTGTGTGCGTGTACACAATGACCCTTAGGCATGTGTGTGAGCAGTGACCCCCAAGCATGTTTGAGTGCATGGTGACCCATAGGTGTGTATCTGCACAGTGTCCCTAGGTGTGTGAAGTGGCCCTTGTGTGTGTGTGGGTGTGTGTGTGTCAGCGACCCCTAGGAGTGTGTACACAGGACCCTAGGCGCATGTGAAGTAACCCCTACCTGTATGTGTGTGTGTTCACACCGAACCCGAGGTGTGTGCCTGGGTGCAATGTCTCAGTTACTTTTCTGACACTGGGACAAAATAACCAACGCCCACAATTTAAAGGAAGAGAAATTGATTTTGGCTCATAGTTCAGTCCATGATTGGCTTGTCTCCAAGGCAGAAACAGCATGGAGGAGGGGCATGGTAAAGGAAAAGCCGCTCAGCCTATGGCAGGCAGGAAGCAGGGAGAAGGGAAGAGCCAGAGAGGGAGATGGAGCTTTCCAATAACATCCCCAATGACCCACCTCTTCCAACCAGGCCCCACCTCCTGACAGCATATTCAGCTCTGGCTTCATCAGTGGATTAATCTGCTGATGAGTATACTGCCTCCATGATCCAATGATATTCTGAAGCCCTACCTCTGAACACATGAGACTTTTGGGAGACATTTTATATCTAAATCATAACATTCTGTACTGTGGCCCACAAAAGACCTATGTCTATCTCTTTATCCAAAATGCATTAAGTTCATCTCTAAGAATCACCAAAGTTTTAACTTTGCTTTCCAGAATTGCTGAAAAGTCCAAGTCCAAAGTCTCCTCTGAGATTCAAGGCAAACTCCTAGCTGTGAGCCCCTGTAAAAATTAGTTAAATACTTCTAATGTACAATGGCACAGGGTAAATATTCCCATCCCACAAAGGAGAAATTGGGGTATAGAAAAGAATGTGACCAAAGCAAGACTAAAACCCAGCAGAGCAAACATTCAATCCTGTAGCTCTTTGTCTGGCACCTGGGGCAAATTGTGGCAAGATGTGAGGTCTTTGGGGCTTGGCATTGCTGGTTGCAGCCCACATGACATCTCTCTTGGGCAGACTTCACTCACTGCAGCTTTCCTCAGCAGACCTTCCATGTTCCTGGGGTCTCTACTGCACTTTTGGTTTCAATCTCACAGCTTTGCACACTGTCTTCTTCTCCAAGGGCGTACTGCCTGACTTCCCAGGCCTTCTGCTACAATCTGCGTAGAAGCCTCTATGACCCCATAACTCTTGAATTCTGCATGCCTGTAAAATCAGCACCACATAGTTGATGTCAAGGTCTGCTGCCAACTGAAACAATAAGCAGGCCCCTTTGGATTATGACTCCAGAGACCTGTGAGTACCTAGATGGCTGAGCATGGTGAAATGAAGCCTGAAGAACCAATTCCCTAGGCAACTCTTCTCAGCCGGTACTCTTTTCTTAAATGAAAGCTTTATAGTTTTGGACCCTTGAGCTTGCAAAGGGTAGGGTATTGCTGATTCCTGAGATGTCCTCAAGCTCTCTTTCCTATTGTCCTCACACAAAGTACTTGGTTTCTTTTAAATGCTAACCTTCTTAGCAGCCGAGCTCAAATTGACCCCAGCTTTACAAGTGCTTCCCTTCTGGCCACCAGCAAATTTTTTCAAATAATTCAGCTCTGCTTTTTGGTCCTGATTTCTCACTGTAAATCTTGCTAAAAAGAGCCTATAGGACCCATGTCAAAGCCTTAATCTTGGGTTGCCTTGAAATTTCCTCCACCAGATTGATTCGTCTGCCACCCTTAATCTCAGTTTCTTACAAGTGTCAGGACATGGGCAAAATGTACACACACTTTCTGCCAGAGCATGACACACATGACCTCTAAACCAGCTGCCAACTGAGTCTGTTCCCAGCTGAGAATTCCTGAGCCTGGCCTTTACTGCTTATATTTCTGTCAGCATTCTGGTATTCTGAGCTCTGATGAGAATCTCCTGTTAAATCAGCTTACAGCATTCTAGGGCTTCTCTAGCTAGCATCTGCAAACCTTCCTAAAGCCCTCCTATGAACCAGTCCCAAAGGCTTCCGAACTCATGGTCAGGTACTGACACAGGAGCAACCTCGCTTCTCTGGTACCAGCTTTTGTCTTTCTTGTTCCGGGCATAAAATACTGAGCACCCACAACTTAAAGGAGAGGTTTATTCTGGCTCATGGTTTCCTCCATGATTGGCTGGCTCTAAGGCAGAACAAGCATGATAGAAGGACACAGCAAGGGAAAAGGTAATCAATCCATGAAGTAGGAAGCAGATAGATAGGAGGAGCCAGGCAGGGAGATGTAACCATCTAGTTACAATCCCCAGTGACCTGCCTCTTCCAACCAGGCCCCACCTCCTAACAGCACATTCAGCTCTGGATTTGTCAGTGATTAATCTACTGATGGGTATAGCATCTCTGTGATCTAGTTAACTTTCCAAAAGCCCCACCTCTGAACACATGAGTCTTGTGGAGGACGTTTTACATCTAAACCATAACGTAGTTACCCTCTAGGCATGTGTATGCAGTGACCTGTGTGTGTGTGTGTGTGTGTGTGTGTCTGTGTGTGTGCAGTCAGCTTGATGTATGAGCACGAGATGTGCATGTGCACATTTTCCCCAGATGTGTATGTGTGTGCAGTGTCCCACCAGGGATGTATGTGTTGTGTGTGGCAGAGCCTCTCAGGCATGTTTATGTGTGCACGGTGCCTCCAGACATGTGTTTGTATGCACAGTGATCCCAGGTGCATATGTGCACAGTATCCCCTAGGGACGTGTACATGTGCAGTGCCCTCCAGGTTTGTGTGTGTGTGTGTGTATGCACAGAGACTCCCAGGCATGTGTGTGTATGCAGTGACTCTTGGGGTGTGTGTGTACACAGTACCTTACAGGCACATGTGTGTGCACAGAGCCACCCTGGCATGTGTGTGCACAGTGCCCCAAGCACATGTGTGTATGCAGTGACCTCAGGTGTATGCGCATGCACAGAGCCCCCAAGCGCCTCTGTGTGTGCATCGATCCCAGGGGTGTGTTTGTGTGTGTGTGTGCATGCACTTGTGTTTGTGCAAGTTTTCTCAGTCCTTGCAGTGCCCTGGTGGACAGCACTGACTTAGGTCTTCCATCCCAGTGGTTCCATGTCTGCAGCTATACAGTCTTCCACTGTTAGTGCCACAGTTTTTTGTGGCAATATGAAGTGTTGGGTGTGTGTGTCTTTTTATGATTTTAATTCTGTCTCTATGCGTGCCTGAGAGTGTTGTATGAAGCTGGTTCTGCTGGATGGTGAAACAGATCAACACCTCGCTGCCCTTTAGCTGAGTACTTCTAGCCTTCTCTTTCATCTGAGAGAAGCCTGTTGGCTGAGACTTACCACCCAAAGGATGTGCCATATATATATTTTTAAACCTAGGGCCTTGCACATGCTAGGCAAGTGGTCTACCACTGATCTATACCCCTTTCGTGTTTTGTTATTTTTAAATGAAATAATACTTGCCATATTGCACTAGCTAGCCTCAAGTTTGCTATCCTCCTGCCTCAGCCAGGTAGCTGGATTACAGGTATTTGCTACCACACCCAACTGTGTTGTGCTTTTTAATCACTCATAATGCTTTTTGTTGTTTTGCGGTGCTGAAGATCAAACCCAAGGGCAGGAGCATGCTAGGTAAAGACTTAACCACCAGGTGAAGTGCATACTATCCACATCGTAAGTCTCCTTTGAAGAACATGTTGCAACTGTAATGTCTTGTTTCTATAACATCAAATATACCACAAAGTAAGGTTTTGTGAATAATCTGTTTAAATACATTTTTCATTTGTGACTTTGAATTTTCTTCTTTTCAGCTAGTGTGTGTGTTGTGAAGGTAGAAGGTAGTCCTTATCTCTGTAAAGCTGATGAAGTTGGAGAAATCTGTGTGAATTCCAGTGCAACTGGGACAGCATACTATGGGCTGCTTGGAATCACAAAGAATGTGTTTGAGGTTTGTAAATACATTTTCCTGATCTTCCTGTTCAAATCAAGACCCGTGAGTATTGAGGGGGTCCAAGGGTGCAGGGTGCTGTGGGCAGAGCAGAGGCCAGGTGCACACAGAGGTGAGGCGCACTCGAGTCCTGCCACAGGCAGCCCTGCCCATCACAGAGCAGTCACGCCAAGGAAACAGGCCACAGAGGCCATGGGCCCCTGGAGACCCTGATCTTGGCAGCATCTCCCTCCCACGGAGCAGGGTGGCAACCAGGTCCTGTGTAGAGTGCTGTCTTTCCGGGAGTTGGTCACTGTCCACAGGCTGATGTCCCCCTTCCGCTCCGCAGACTGTTCCGGTCACGGCAGGAGGAGTCCCTGTCTCTGAGAGGCCTTTCACCAGGACAGGCCTGTTGGGCTTCATCGGTCCTGTGAGTATGTCCTCTCACTGGGGATGTCAGGCAGGGATAAAGGACATCTTGCTACAGATGGGTGTGTCCCCTTCGCCCTGCTTTCCGTGCTGCCCACCCTGCCCACTGCCTTGTTTATGTGCAGGCTGTGCACAGTTCTGAGTCTGGGTCCCAGTTCCACATGGAGCCCGCCTGGGGCTGATGAGGTTGTTTTGCTTTCTGTACAGGGTAACACGTGCATGGCCATTGTGGTGTCGCTCTTTACCATTTTACGTCTCAAATGTTTTAAAAGAAGCACTTTTTTGTGACATCTTGGCCCAGGGGTTCTTAACTGGGTGACTTTGCCCTCTTCCTTCTGGGGACACACGGTGGCCTCTGCTCAGGAGAATGTCGCGGCAGCTATGGGTATCTAGTGGCCCGGGTGCTGCTCAGCACCCACCATGCACGGGCTGGCACCTGTGGCAGCGCTGCCCACAGCACAGCACTGTGACTGGGAGCTTTACCTTTGCCCAGGAGTTTTCAAAGTCCCCTGCAAGCTTTACCCACAAACTAACTCCCGCCACACCTCCTAGCAGCCACCCCGAACTCCTGCCCCCTTGTTACTGGAAGGTGCCTGCAGCTCTTTTGATCCTGTGAGGTGTGCAGTTCTGTGTGTTTCTGGCTGCCCCTGGCTGGGCTTGACCATGCCCACCATTCCCACAGGATAACCTGATCTTCGTTGTGGGCAAGCTGGATGGACTGATGGTTGTGGGAGTCCGAAGACACAATGCAGATGATGTGGTGGCCACCGCCCTGGCCGTGGAGCCCATGAAGTTTGTCTACAGAGGCAGGTGATGCTCTGTGGAGCCCTCAGGTTCCACGCTAGTTAGAGGGCAACTCTGTGCTGAAGGGAAAGCCCAGTCAGTCTAAATTTGTAAAACCTAAAAGCCCTTATACATCTGAAAAACCTTACAAAGAAACATGAAAATATTTGCAGTGGTAGTACCAGAGTTAATGTCCTCACTGTCCAAAGAGTTTAATTCCTCAAGAGTCTAGTGGACTGGGCAAAGGGACAAGGGACAGGTAGCTGCTGGGGAAAGATGAGTCAGCAGAAATGGGTTCCTCTTCCTCGTGGCCCAAAAAATGCAGATGAACACAGAACAGTGGTTTTCTCCGTGAAATCACTGAAGGCAAATTCTCATTTCTAGTAAAATGAGACACACGCAGTACTCTGCCTTGCTCCTGAGGTAAAATCCATGCAGCTTTTCTGGACATGTTAAGCAGGGACATTAGAGATTCCCATTCCCACCGAGTGGGTGACTGGACCTGTGGGGCTGTGCCGCGGTGTGCAGGGATCAGGGAGGGCGTTTCTCCTAGGTCCTTCCACTGCCCCAGCCCTCTGCCCTGGCGAAGCCCTTCTCCTAATGGGCCGGCACAGCCTTTCACACTCCTCAAGGGAGTGCCTTTGGCTATTAAACGTGGCCAGGCCCCGCCCTGCCTTTCCGTAGCCCTAAAGAAATCCCTAGGGAATTCTGCCACGCAGGCTGCAGGCCTGCCTGTGTGTCAGTCTTAAAGACACCCCGAGGACGGGCCACGGGGAATGTGGGACTCCCACTCAGGATGGCCACAGGGTAGGCTGTGTGTATGTAGGGTGGCCGCAGCGTGGGACCCGTGCACCTCTCATCAGCGGCCTGCCTCTCACAGCAGAATCTGGGTGAAGGCGTCTGTCGGTGCAGGGGTCTGTGGGTTGATGGTAAGGTGACCACCTGGGCCTGGACAGCCAGTCAGCAGGGTGTGGGGAGATCGCGTCTGTAGACCGGTGAGTCTCCTGTGCCCAAGGGGAAGAGCTGAGGACCTTGAGGGAACCCACGACCAGCTGCACCTGTGCGGTGGAAGAGAGCCGCTGAGAATGTTGGCAACATGGAGTGAGATCACGCAGTCCTCACAGAATGACTACTTAAACAGAACCCAAGAGACAGGATGAGTACAGTTGGTACAGCTAGAGAATGGGTTGATACGCTGGAAGATCACATTGAGAAACTACTTCACAAGTAAAGAAAGAGAAAGGTTAAAAGGACTGTTGGGGGAGATGGGAGAGAACATCTGGGAAGCGGGCTCAGGAAAAGGGGGAGTGTGGGGCCCAGCGGTTCTCAGAGGAAGCAGAGGCTGGGGCTCTGAGGACTGGGGCTGGGTCTACACGTGGCCCCGGCACGGCAAGCTCATCTGCGCTCACAGCAGACTGTGACAAAGCCCCGCAGAACGCGTTAGACTTCTCCACAGTGGGGCTGACGCAAGGTGACAGTGCAGTGATGTCCTTTACGATTTTGTTTTGTTTTGTTTTTTGTTTGAGACAGTATCTTGCTCTGTATGTAGTCCAGGTGTTCCTCCTGCCTCAACCTCCCAAGGGCTGAAATTACAGGTGTGTGACACCACACCCGATTGTTTAAGTTTTTAACTAGATTTTATGTGCATCTAAATTGTCACTTAATTGTGGAGTTGTAATAAAAATATTTTCAGGCATGTCACAGAAAGATCTGACATGTTGGAATACTTTTGGACAAAGTACTAAGAGAAATAAATTTAAGAAATGCTGCAAAGTTATGACGGAAAAACTCAGCAGGGATAAAATCTGTTGGATTAAAAAAAAAAAAGTGTGTGTGGAGTGTGTGTGTACACTGGCCAAAGGAAAGAACAAGAGAAAAAAATCCATAATGATCCAGAATTAGAATGGTAGACCTACTAGCAAGAGGGCTTTGGTGGGACACAGTAGAGATAGCAACTCAGAGTCCAAAGAAGAAAAAGGCAACACATACACACACAAGAGGACTTGTTGAAATTTCCTAAGTAAGAGAGAAGAAAAAAGTCAAAACCCAGTAATTGTAATATGCATGGATAGATTAACTCTTAGGGGCAGAGAGACTTAATCTGATGAATTTAAAAAAATACAGTAGAAACTTAGAAATGTGCATGTATGTTAACATTAGAAATAAGGAATTTTCCATTAAAAGTCCTGTGCCTGATTGTTTGGATTAGTGCTGAGGTCCTGTCAGTGTTTGTGGGTCGGAGCGTATTTCAGCCAAACTCGAGGAGACTGTCGGGCTGAACTTAGGCGTCTGTGCATTGTGTCTTCCTCCCGTGCCCTCTGCTGTGCGGCCACTTCTCCTCATCCCCCTCAGGATCGCTGTGTTCTCTGTGAGCGTGCTGCGTGATGACCGGATTGTCCTCGTGGCAGAGCAGCGGCCGGACTCCTCAGAGGAGGACAGCTTCCTGTGGATGAGCCGAGTGCTGCAGGTGGGTGCTGGGCAGGTGCTCTCCCCACAGCACCTGAGAAGGGAAGGACGCGGCGTAGCCCTGGATGTGTGCAGTGCCGAGGGTACCGTGGGGCCGTGCCTCAGTGCCCTGCCCTCACCCTGCTTCTGTAGTTGGCGTGCAGCATTGTCTGTGCCTCAGAAGTACTGTTAGCACATCTTAAAAATTAACCATTTTTTATTGATGGAAGTAGATATCTAGTCATTGTTCAAATTTCCCTAATTATCTAATGATTAGTTGGTTAGACGTAAAATAAGGTCATACATCACTCTTGAGATTGTACCTTTGAGTGTCACTTAATGTGTCCTGTCCCCTGTTGTTTATGTTCACTGGTGGACAGATCTGGAAATTGGATTGGATTCAGGGCTAGTTTTTTGGCAAAATTTCCCCTGAAAGGTGCCACATGGTGTCTGGTGGTTCCTCTGTTGCTTGGAGTGCCAGTGTCTTCTGCCTGTGATTTGTGATTTCATAGGAGTGAGACTTCGATTCTGTTTTTCCTTAATTAAGTGGAGCTACTAGCTCCACTGCCTCCCCCCAGAGGATGGGTTGGGCAGGAAATCAGATGACAGTGGGCTTCAGAGTAATGAATCCTCTAGAAGTGACCCCTAAGCTGTTTTGCTCTGTCTTGAACTAATGGTCTTAAACACATTGGCTGAGTTTCACTGTATGGTAGCTGTGGTTTTCATCTTTCAGGAGTCAGTGGGAGAACTGGGCATGGTGGTGCACGCCTGTAATCCTAGCACACTGGTAGGCTAAGGCAGGAGGATTGCAAGTTTGAGGCCCACCTGGGCAACTTAGTGAGGCTCTACCTCAGAAAGTGTTGTAAAAAGGGCTGTGGGTTTAGCTTAGTGCAAAGGCTCTAGATTCAATCCCTAGTACCACACACAAAAATAATGATAAAAGTCAATGGGAGCATTTTTTTGATACCAGGAATCGAACTCAGGGCTTCATGCTTGCCAGGCAGGTGCTGTACCACTGAGCTACAACCCTGGCCCCAGTGGGAGCATTCTGACACTCCTTTGGCTCTGTGAGGCCACAGTAGAAACAGGAAGCTTGGGTCCTGGGCAATTTTCCCTTCCCGCCCCTAGGGTCAGGAGTCGGAGGCCACATCTGTGCACTTAATGTTATTGTCATGGTCACTGTTTCTAGGCTTTTTTTAGAGGATAGAGAAGAAAAGTTTATCTACGTTGTGAGTTTATGCTGAGAGTTTGAACTCAGATTCAGGACCACAGAGGTTTCTCCTAAGCTATTGGCCTCTTGTCTCCCACCCTGAAAAATTGTGGTGCGGATGACTGCCGTCGAATTACTCAGTGACTTCAAGCCCCTCTGTACCCTTACTGCCTCCGAGTTGTGGTCTTGCTGCCACCTCCGAACAGCAGTGAGAACTGCTCATGCAGTTTTGCAGATCTCTGCCCTTTGCCTGCCCGCCTTGGGATGGACTGTCAAGGCTGCGAAGTCACATTAGACCACGCCTCCTGAGTGCGCCACCCATGCATGGGGTTGGGTTGAGTTCATTTGTTTTATTTTACTTTCAGTCATTAGGGATTGCCTTTTAAATTTCTAAGTTCATTGTATTTAAAATATAAGCATGGTTCCAAATTCAAATCCAGAAGCAAAGACGTTCAGATACATCTGGCTTCTGTCCCTGCTCCTCACCTCTTTCCTACAGGAAAACACTTGATGCTGCTCCATGGCTGCTGAACTCTACGCTTTCACATAGCAGTGTAGACTTAGGGTTAGGGTTTATGTGTACACAGTGGGCAGCTCCCCTTTAGACACGTGATAGAAAAGGCACATGCTTTTCGCCCCCTTTTCTCACTTAAAATGTCCGGGGGTCATTATCAGCTGGCCTTGAGACTTCAGGTCCAGCATGGTGGACTCTCCATTTCTTACCTGTGTGGATGGCAGCATGTGCCCATCAGGGACCTTCCCTTCCAGGCCATCGACAGCATCCACCAGGTGGGCGTGTACTGTCTGGCCCTGGTTCCTGCCAACACCTTGCCCAAGGCTCCTCTTGGAGGGATTCATGTTTCAGAAACCAAACAGCGCTTCCTGGAAGGGACCCTGCATCCATGTAACGTGCTAATGTGCCCTCACACGTGTGTTACCAACCTTCCCAAACCTCGGCAGAAGCAACCAGGTGAGTTGTACCTCACAGCAGGACTCCTTCCATTCTTAAAGGTGGTGGTAGCCAGCACTGTGGATCAGGATGAAACCCCTTTAGACCCTACAATGGTAATATCCACTTCTTTGGGGCTGGGATTAAGGACCAGAGCAAGCGTGTGTACCATATTGGTTACCACCCCGTCTTCCTAGAACAGAGCCCCAAGTGAGGACACTTTGCCATTTCATCTGTGAGGTGGTTTCCATCTGCTTTTAGGGACCAATCTTAATGGTAGATTTGAGGATGACACCTGAGCCTTGGACAGCCAGGAGATGGCTCTGGGAGAGACCTGATGTCCAGGAGCAGACCTGCTTTCTGGGGATCACTGCCTGCCTTGGGCTAGATCCCCTGTCCTCAGGAACTAGCTTCCCACCTAGCCCTGTGACCTGCTGTAGCTATGGGGTTGATGGGGCCTTGAAAGTCTCTCAATGGTCACTTTCCTGTCCCTGATTTTATACATTTAAAAATCAAAGACTGGTTTAACTATTACATGTATTTTGTCATTTTAATTATATATATATATATTTTTATATATATATTATATATATTTTTTATATTATATATAATGTTTTATATATATTTTATATTATATATTATATAATATATTACCACTGAGCTAAATCCCTGGCCCAAGTTATGTATATTTTTATTGCAAGTTAACTTTTCTTGCAAATTATTGAACTCAAAATATCACTACATAAAATACATTTCATCAGGAATAATTAATTTTCTGACATATATGAAATATAGTAAAACAATAAAATATATTAAGAATTTGCCTGAGGTCCTGAGAAAGATGCTGAGTAGTAAGTTTCTCAACGTGACACAGTTTATATCTAAGAGAGAAATTATCTTTGTCATTCAACGTAAGTCTCAGCTGGTTTTCTGAATACTTGTATTTTTGAGGGGAGAGGTAAAGGCCTAATCAGGTATATTTCACAGTAACAAAGTTACATGGTGATTCTGGATTCATGTCCAAGCATGTCAGCTTCTGCCTTGGAATCCTGTTCTAGAGGTTGGACCAGCCTCGATGGTCGTTGGGAACCTAGTTGCTGGAAAGAGAATCGCGCAGGCTTCTGGGAGAGAGCTGGCCCACCTGGAAGACAGCGAACAGGCTCGAAAGGTAACGGGTGGCTCCTGCAGGGTGGTGTAAGCGCCATGCCAAGGGCCAGGAAGGCCGCCATGGGCTGACCCCTCTTCTGCAGTTCCTGTTCCTGGCAGATGTGTTGCAGTGGCGGGCACACACCACCCCTGAGCATGCACTGTTCCTGCTGCTGAATGCCAAGGTGAGGGGTCCCGCCTCCCAGGTGGTCTTCTCCGTGTTCCCGTCACCCTCATGTCAGAGAAGAGCATGCTGTTAGGCTTGGGCCGCATCTTGTGGGTTCTCTGCTCCTTTCCTTGTGGAGCCCCTGTTGTTTTTTACAGTTTACATGGTATTATTTCTATTGATTTTGTATTGAGCAAGAAAATTCTCATCAGCTCCATTTTTTAAAATCAAAAACAGAATATATTAAGTATTTCAAAATTTGTGAATAAAAAGAAATATTGTTGTGAAACTTAGGGATTTAGCCTTTTTACATTTGTTTATAGCTTTAAAATGACAAGCACTGCTTACTGCTCAACCCTGCTGATGGGAAGATTCCTTGTCAAGCATTCTGATGCCTGTTAGTGTTTCCTGCTATACAAGGAGCATCCAGGATGTGAGGAGAAGCTGCTGCCCTCACATCCCAGGCTTGGGCAATGCAGAAGCCCTGCGTGGCTCCCTGCAGGCCAGCTTGGGCAGCCGTGGGTGCTTGAGCATGGCACAGATGCTGGCCTCTCTGCTCTAGGAAAGGCTGGGGCTGCTCACTCACTCAGAGTACTTTTGGTGCCCACTGTGTGCGCAGTGTTGAACGAGTAGGAAGGGCCCTGCTCTCAGCACATTCAAAAGACATCTTGCCTGGGAGAAACTGAGCTCTAAGGGAGAGGGCTGCCCTTGTTCCCTGGTATACCCCAGAGAACATGCATTTCCCAGCTGAGTCCTAAGCCATGCAGAAAGCAGCCATTAGCGATCAGCGAAGTGACAGTGTGCTTACGGTGAGGCCCCAGATCTGTGAGACAGAGGGCCAGGGGCTGTGGGGCAGGGCTGGTTCAGCAGTGGGCTCTGAGCTGGGTGCAGTGGGACACAGGATGGCTGTCCAGATAGCAGCGGCTCTGGGTCAGAGGCAGGACTTACAGGACCTCTGGGCGTCCTGCATGAGTGCAGGGAGGTTTTACTCTGGGTGCCCATCAGGTCTTTACGAGGGAAATGGCGGCCAGGGGTGAGTGAGCACATATGTGACCAGACCCAGTATGGGGACACGGCCGAGCTCTGTGGAACCAGCAAGCCCATCTTGTAGACCTTTACTCAGAGTCCCCCTTAAGGACATGCTGCCCTTTGCCCCAGGGGGGAGTCTGTGTTTGCCCAGGTGACGACTGGTAGGGGCTTCAGTCTTGTCCCTTTTGGATGCTCACCCTCACCTTTGCAGCCTGGGCATTCACCTCTGAGCTTGGGCACAGAGGGCAGGTCCATCCCTGGCTCCTCCTCCACCATCTGCCATCAGTAGAGTCCACCCATCTAGCAGCAGGAGTTGTAATGTTACCTGGAGTTTATGGTTGTTAGATTGAATTGCATGTATCATTTCCTTAAGACAGACTCTGTAACCCCCTGCCTGTCCTCAAGGGTGCTGCGGCATCTGTATTGAGGTGATCATAGCTCCTATGCCCCTAGCCAAGGCCAAGGATGGATGACGCTGGGCAGGCCACACTGTGCTGCAAGATGGTGTAGCTTAGAGGTGCTTACTTATTGTTTGTTGTTTATTTACTTGCATTATGTACGGGATGAGGGCTGTTTCTGAGGAGAGCGGATGGAATTGGACAGTGGCTTGCAGGTGGCTCTAAGCAGGATGACGGTTTATTTCAAAGAAGAGAAGCTAGAGGAATATGGCTATTCTTTGTCATGTTATGTTTGAAAGTTTTGTTGGTTTTGTTCTTTGGTGTTTTGAGACAAGTTCTTGCTGTGTAGTCCAAGGTAGTCTTGAATTCACTCTGGAGCTTTGAACTTGCAGCAATCCTCCTGCCTCAGCTGCCCCAGTGCTAGGATTACAGGCGTATGTCACCACGCCCGGCTTATGTTTTAAATATTTTATCAAAAAGGCCTAAAATTTCCCTCTCACACTTGGCTCTGTTCTGAATGAGCATGCCCCCCTACCCCGGCTCTCCTGGGGCCACAGGGGGAGCTGTCCCTGCACTGCCAACAGTCGTCAGAGACACCAGCACTCATCTGGGACTGAGCCTGTCTCATGGGCAGAGCTGCAGGGCAGGTGTCTGTCTGCACCTACCTGCACACTGACGGACTTGATTGCCTTCTAGGGCACGGTCACCAGCACTGCCACCTGTGTCCAGCTACACAAAAGGGCTGAGCGGGTGGCTGCCGCCCTGATGGAGAAGGGCAGACTGGATGCTGGGGACCATGTAGCTTTGGTCTATCCCCCAGGTAAGCACACACCCAAGACATCCCCTCCCAACCTTCCCGAGCAGAGAGCAGCCCCTCCCCTAACTTGGCCACCTTAGACGCCTCTGGTGGCTGCCTGTGCATCCTCTGGACAGGACCTGTGTCCCTGGAAGCTTCTTTGCTGTCATGAGGGCGGATGCTCAGGTTCATCTTGGGCCTTCTAACCCCAGAGCTGGAAGCCACTGTCTATCCAGGGACCCTCACTCTGATTCTTCAGCACAGACTCTGGGCAGTTGGGAAGCCCAACCCCTGATTATGTCTTCTAGAGATGGGGTGGGTCCTGAACCCATGCTCATGCCTCCAGTGCACATTCAGAGTTGCAGGATTTTGCTTAGCTTCTGCATTAGCTCCTCTTTTCCACCTGACAACTCCCGACTCTTCAACACAGAGATGCCAGAATTGGAATGCCCCGTGGTCACTCATTTGCCTTACCCCATGTCACACGCAGCCTTCTCACAAGAACAGTGGCAATACTATGAGCACCTGTATGGTTTTTCCTTTCTTTTTTTTTTTTGGTACCAGGGATCAAACTCGATCTTGTGCTTGTGAGCCAGGTGACAGCTCCACTGAGCTAAATCCCCGGCCCTACGAGCGCTTGTGTGATTCTCGAGAATAAGTTGAAAATGTCACCATGTGCTCATGCACCACGTTCTGTGTGTGGCTGACTCTTGTGAGGCAGCTTCATCACCCTCCACCCTCACCGGGGTTCAGTTCCACAGGCAGCTGTGCCCCATGTGCCCCTCAGCTGTCCCTGTGTACTCTGGCCATGCTGTTTTCTGAGGCTCTTCAAGGCTTGCCCACTTCCAGAAAGCTGCTTTGACCCATAGTTCCCACTGTGCATTCCTCCTGTCCCCGAGGGAGATCTTTGTTATCTGTCTTCAGTAGTTGTCATTTGCTCTTCCACATTTCTTTCTCACTAAACTTCATTTTGAGTATTAAAGTCTCCTTTGCTTCATCTTTTTACTCTTAAATCTTTTATCTGTTGTCTGGTGCTCTTCAAGCTTCATCTTCATTTTGAATTGATTTTTAAAAAATTATCTATTCTTTCCTCATCTCTGACTTTCCCTGACTCTCATTCCTGTATCCTGTTGTGTTGTGGATCATTTTCCTTGTGCATTTTAACACATTTTGAAATGGCCCGTTAGGGCTCTGTGTTTTGTGGGCTTCTTGGGCATGCTCTTCTTGTGTGAGCAGTGATGCTCTCTGCTCTGCGTTCTTTTTCATGACTGTTCCTCCTGCTGCTTCACATCTCCTGCCTCAGCTCTGCTTGTTTGTCATCCCCTCCAGAGCTGTCTCCTCCCTGGAGAGGGCCTGCTGTGTCTCACAGGTTCTCGTTGTGCTCAGTAGTGGGAGGGCAGCTTCTGTGCAGCGTCTCCCCTCCCAGCTCTGAGCAGACCCTGCAGCACAGGGGACATGGCGCCCACTAGATGCTCCCTCCCGCCCTCCTCCTTCCCCCTCAACACCCTGCAGCCCTCACTCCTCCTACCTGCTGGGCATCCCTACCCTCGCACTCAAAGATGAACACAGCCAGACATCAGCTGAAGTGCCGAAAGCGGATTTTATTCAGAACTACTGACAGTGGGAGAAAGAGCTGAGCTCTGTTCCAGCTGTCCAGGTGTTTGAAGGGAAGGATGAAGGAGAAAGGCCAGGGCTTTGTATCAGGATTGTCTATCAGGGTGCTGGCCCCCACGGAAAGGGCCAGCACACCATCCCTCCTAGGAATTCCATTTCCCGGGAAGGGCTCTAGGCCCCAGAGAGACCTGCCGCCGGGGCTGCACATTTACAATGGTAAGCCTTCTTAGCACACTCCCGGGGAGTGGAGGTCAGGCCCTGAACTGGGGCAGCACCTCTCTGGGCTGTGTGGGCTTCCTCCACAGGTATTTTAGTGGTGGCCAGGGTCATCTTGGAGATAGGCCTTGTGCTGCTGGGCGCTGCACTGGAGTCTCGTGCTGTTGGGAGCCAGGCCTTGACGCAGAGCAGATAGTGCCCTGTGGCCTTAGTTCCGTGTGCTGCTGGCTGCTCAGCTCCTGTCCAGTAGCTCTCCTCTCCCTGATGTGGCCCCTGTGATGCATACTGGTGCATTTCTCTGTGTTAGTGCCCTATCACACTGTGGCTGGTGGTTGTGTGTCGGTGCTTGTTTCGGTGATGATGCACTCTCACTTGTCTGCTGTGTGCATGTGTTGTGTTGTTGGAAGGGCATCAGTTGTCTTTCCCTTCAGGAGTCAGCCTGCTGCTGGGAGGTTCGTGGGTGTGGTCTTTTCTCATCTCCTCACCCCTGAACTGTCCACACTCACTTCCACTGGCTGGTGCTCTGCTCCAGCACTGCCTTGCCTCTGTCTCTGGAGCTCTGGGCTCACTTCTGGATCTGCCTGAATCTCTGCTCCTCTCTGTCCTGGCTTCCTTTGTGTGTGTTTTCGGTCACTGCTGACATCCTTGCCTCGTGTTTTGGGTCACTTGGGGTTCAGCAGGGACCAGCCTTTTCTCATTTTATCTGTTGGAGCCTGCAGCTCACTTGGCACGTCCTGCCTGCATGGTGGACTCCTTCCCTCAGGGCTATCATGAGGCACAGATGTCCCCTGTTCAGTCTCAGAGCTCTCTCAGGCTGGTGGCAGCTTGGTATTTTTCTTGACACCAGCCACATCCTTATTTGGACACTCCAGAGTCCCCATCGGCCTTATAGTCCTCCTGCTCTTTCCCAGCTGTGGGGTTTCTTTCCCCAGGGGTGACTACAGATCATCCTCTGCACATGCAGCCCAGATGCCAAGGATGCATCAGGGGCTTTGTTCAGCCCCTCACTGTAGGGCAACCTTGAGAGAGAGAGAGCAGAGTCTCCAAGAACTGCTAGTGTGGCCAAGTTGGAGCTCCCCGGTCCTGCATCCACAGCAGCAGAGCAGAGCCAGCCAAGCCTGAGCCTGGGAGGATTGTAGTGTTTCCCACCCAGGGTTGGGGCTGCAGTGCCTGGAACATTGCTGTCAGGGAGGGGCTGGGCTACAGAAACAGGATATGAGGGCGTGGCTTTAAATACTTCAACACAGGAGGAGCAGCAGAAGAAAGAGCTCCCTGACTATGATGGGGGCGTGCGCAGTAAACCCAGAAGAAGTTGAAAATTTCTGTCTTAGGTACTTTACTCATTGCTGAGACAAAGTACCTGACACCCAAAGTTAAGGGAGGAAAGGTTTATTTAGCTCACAGTTTATAGAGGTTTTAGTCCATAGTCAGCTGGCTCCAAGGCAGGGTGGAATAGCAGAGGAGAAACAGTTCATGCTGGACAGAAGGTAGCAAAGCAACAAGGGGCAACCACAGCTCTTTCTATCCCTTCTATCTTATCCAGGCTGCTTACAGTGGGCAGCACTCACACCCTTAACCCTAGTGCCCTGGAGCCTAGCAGTGCACCATGAGTCAGTCCCAGCATCACACACTCTAGATCCAACCGCCTCTGAAAATGACTGACCTATAACCGACTGAGGCTTTGGGGGGCATCTAGACACAGCCCTAACATATCAGAAGTAGAAAATGCATGACATAGATCTGACCTGCCGCATACCCTCTTGTGGCAGCACAGCATGATGCAGCATAGCTGCATTTCCTCCTGAGCTGCCTCCACTGCCACCACCCTACATCAAGAGGGAGGATCATACTGAATATCACTAGCCTGGGAAAAGATCAAAATTGAAAGTACAGTTTCTACCGAATATATCTTGCTTTTGCACCATTGTAAAGTTGAAAAAGTGTGAATTGACTCCCCGTGAAGGACTATCTGTATGATCTTGATAACTGAGAATCAGAATGGTGAATCCAGGAGGGCCTGATGTTCTTGGGTATGTTTGACGGTATTCATACAAAAAAAAAATTCTTTTCAGTCTGAGGGACTGACACGTGCTAAGGCTCTGATATGCTAGGCAAACACTGCCACTGAGCTGCATCCCCTAGTCCCAAAACTTGAATCAAAAAATGAGGTCATTGGGTGCAGACGTGTACAGCAGGTGTGATGTGCACTTCTTTGTGCAGGGCGAGGGGGTCCAAGACGTTTGTCTAATCCTCAGAGGGGTGAGTGACCTAGAGTCTAGAGCTAGCTGTAGAAGCAGAGCATGGGAACTGAGTTCTTGCTATGTTTGCCAGGGTCCCCGGGGAAGAGGACAAGTGCACGGCCTGAGATTCTTGGGCCCCAGGGAGGGGTTCCTGGCACAGCACTCCATGCTTGAGCTGCCAGACAGAGTGCACCATGTTCTTTGTATTGCACACTGCTGAGCTGCCCTGCCAGAGGGAGCTGCCTGGACACGGGAGCATTAACCTAGTGAGACCCCCAGGGGTGGAGCAGCAGGTGCAGACATCTCTGTCCTGGCCCCCTTTCCATGTGAATACTCAAAACAGCCATGGAACTGGTGGTGAGGGTGCTGTGGGGCCATCTGATTCCCCTCCAGCTGAAGGGGCTTTGTTGCTATTGGGAGCCATAGGAAGGGGCAAGGGAAATGTGTCCCCATCAGACTGACCTAGAAAACAGGGTTTCAGCATGAAATGACTCTCTCCCAAGTTTTAATTATGGCGAATCTTGAACTATAGAAAAGCCAGAAGAGTATGGGCGGTCATCTCTGGCCTTGTATGAGGGAGGGAGTGGGATTGTGGGGCCAGTATCAGCCCTCTGTCCGTAGGCTTCTCCCAGCCTGTTGGGATGTCACAGCAGTGCCTCCTGCTATGGTGGCCATGAGCAGCTCTGTTGCAGACAGCTTGCCTCACCAGGTTCTCTAAGTCTGTGCAGATCCACCCAGCCCCTTGCAGAGCCAAGCTTCTCCGGGCATCTGCGTGCATGCAGATCCACTTAGCTTCAGCCAAGGGCCTCCCTCCTGCTGTGCAGGACAGCACACAGGGCCCCTGTACATCCTCAGCACCCCACCCCATGACTCCCCCTACCAGGCCCTCCAGGGTGTGGAGCTGACCAGTGTAGCTGTTTCACGAAAAAATTGTGCTTGACTTTTGCTGTTATCTCTGGGCCTCAGCGGGCCTGGCTGTGGACACCCACACACTGAGCCTTGCCATGACCTTCTGCCGCATCTCCCCAGGCGTGGACCTCATCGCTGCCTTCTATGGCTGCCTGTACTGTGGCTGTGTGCCTGTCACTGTGCGGCCCCCGCATCCTCAGAACCTTGGTACCACGCTGCCCACTGTTAAGATGATCGTGGAGGTAGGTATTCTCCCTGCTGTGACCGAGGCCCTGGGCCTTTGTGGGAGGCCGTGGGCTCTCTTGCTCCCCCACCACTGTAGGGTGGTGCAGGGAAGGGGCAAGGCCAATCCAGCTCTCCCTCCTTGTGGTGCAGGTCAGCAAGTCTGCATGCGTCCTTACCACACAGGCCATCACACGGTTGCTCAGATCCAAAGAGGCAGCCACAGCTGTGGATGTCAGGACCTGGCCGACCATTCTTGACACAGGTATGTTCCTCAGAGCTGCCCTGTGGGACAGACCCCTTTTCTTTCTTCTTCGTAGAGTTTAAATGTTAGGACGTGTGTTTCAGCTTCAGTGAATGAGAAGGCTGCTAAATGGACCCTTGGATCTGCCTGCTAGGGTAAACGCAGAATGCATGAGATAGCAGGCGCTGCTGTTTCTTGCATGGCAGTGTCCTTGGCTCGGGGGTGAGCTCCTCTCCTCTCAGCACCCTGAAGGGTGGGGACACCTTGCCCCTCTCCCTCTGCCCTGCCCACATAGTGGGCTGGAAGTTACCTGCAGCTTTCTGTGGATCCCAGTTCCCCTTGCACCCCCAGCACCCCTGTCCCCATCACTGCTAAGTGCCGCATGCCCCTGAGAAGTATGTGGGCCAACTGGGAAGGGGCTGAAGCCCCTCTGCCCAGGCAGTTGGGTCGGCCTGATTGGTATCTTAGCTTAGGGCACATCACTGCCCATCCAGGGAGAGGCACCCACCCAGCAGCACCCACCAGTGCTGCCCACAACTGGCAGAGCATGGCCACCAGGCAGACAGGACTCCATCTGTCCCCTCATACTCTGTGGTCCAGGTGTTAGTAGAAGTCAGAGCCTGTGTGGTCTGTGCTGCCCACCTGGTCCTGGGTTGGCCCAGGGAGCTGGTGCTGGGGTCGGTGGAGGGGCAGGCTCAGCACAGACTGTCTAGCCAGGACCTTGCAGCCTCAAGGATTTGCTTCGCCCCTTGCCGTGGCCCTTGCTGACAGCAGCTGTGAGTGCTCACAGGGTTGGGAGAACTTGATGAAGCAGCAGAGCCTAGATCCCCCTGTACTGCTCCTGCTGTGGGAGTTCTGGACTCACATGACTCTGGCAGGTCTTCCTCCTCTGACCTTTCTTAATTGGAAACAAAGTAACTTCCTGCAATTGTCATGGCCCAGCTGATCCTCTGTGCCCCTCTCCCCCAGCATCCTTGTCAGCACATGCTCAGAGCAGTCCTGCTGGGCTAGGCCAGACGACAGGTCTGTGAAGATGACCAGCAGCCTGCCTTCTCCCAGCCTGGCCGATCTGAGCTCACCATCTGGCTCCCCAGCCGCACCCTGTGCGGTGTCCAGTGTCACTGACTAATGTCACTGGCGTCTCCTGTTTGTCAGATGACATACCAAAGAAGAAAGTGGCCAGCATTTTCAGACCGTCCTCTCCGGACATGCTCGCATACCTGGACTTCAGTGTGTCGACCACTGGGATATTAGCAGGAGTGAAGGTGGGTCCTCAAGCGCCCGATGACCTCAGCCCTGGAGCATGGAGGAGTGGCCAGGAGGGACGTGGGGTGCAGGCATAGGTGGGTCCTTCCTATCTAGAGCACAGAACAACAGTATTATTTCTTAATGAACCCCCAAATTAGATGAGCCTGAGAACCATGTATATTTTGATGTTTTATGGTAATATCTAAACCAGTGATGGTGAACATTTTAGAGCCTTTGGTGATTAACAAACTGCAGCACACGCGCTGTAGGCTTGCTACCACTGGTCTAAATTTTCTGCTCAATTCAAATTTCTTGCTATCCCAGAATCTTGTTTCAGGGATTCCCATGTGCCATTTCTTGGGTCTTATTTAGGTTGTTTTCGGATGTGAGCCAGCTATCTTTGGAGGAAGTAGTGTGACACTTGGCAGTGTGGAACCACATCCCCGCCTGGCTGCTGAGCACAAGGGCATTGTCATTCATCCCCTTTCTCCCTTAGATGTCACATGCAGCCACAAGTGCCTTGTGCCGCTCCATAAAGCTGCAGTGTGAGCTGTACCCTTCAAGGCAGATTGCCATCTGCCTGGACCCCTACTGTGGCCTTGGCTTTGCCCTGTGGTGTCTGTGCAGGTGAGTGGTTTGCAGCTGCTCATGTGGTTCTTTAGCATTCACCTTCTAAGGTGTCTTTTTTGAGCACCCCAGAAGTTGAAGAGATGTGAGAGCGGGTTTGCTTGGGGATAAGGTAAGTTGGAGTGTGGGTCTGGAGTTGAGTAAACAGTAAGAGCACTTTTTATTAAATACAAACAGTATCTGCGCTTACCATTAGTAAGAATCTCCTTGATTCCTTCACATGCTGGAAGATGGTGACACCTCCAGCAGTAGGAAGCCTTGTGGGTGTCCCTGGACTTCTGTAGTACACGGAGGGGCATCAGGACTCCACCCACCATGTGTATTCTGCCAGAATCTCACTGGTGTTCGAGCAGAGTTGTGCCCTATCCTGGCCAGAAAAGGTGTCCTTGAGGAAGGAAAGAGCAGTGCCCCGCGCTCAGCTCCTTCCCAGCTACCCTCTGCCCCACAGTGTCTACTCGGGACACCAGTCAGTGCTGGTTCCCCCACTGGAGCTGGAGAGCAACGTGTCCCTGTGGCTGTCGGCCGTCAGCCAGTACAAGGCCCGTGTCACCTTCTGCTCTTACTCAGTGATGGAGATGTGCACCAAAGGCCTGGGCTCGCAGACAGGTGCCCTCAGGGTGAGTGCCAGGTAGGGCTCTGGGCCACAGTGACTCCGAGCTGCTGTGTCTGGGCTCTCCTCCCAAGGCAGCTCCCTGCAGTCCCAGGCTCATCTGCCTCTGCCAAGGTCCCTCCCTCTAGCCGCACACCCAGCAGGAAAGGAGGGTGTGTGGCACACGGGATGGTAGGACATGGGCCGGAGGGTGCAGTTCCTGCCCCCATGTTTAGGGTTCCCCAGCCTGAGGCAGGTGGGAGGACACAGGCTTGTGCTTAGTTTCGCCTCTGCACTCAGACTTCGGGCCAAGCCCCATGTGGGTCCCATCCAGAAGCTTCCCGAGATAATCCATGCTCAGGGCCTCAGCCTGTGTGCTGTGGGCCAACTCCTACCCCCCTGCAGATGAAGGGTATAAACCTGTCCTGCGTGCGCACATGCATGGTGGTGGCCGAGGAGCGGCCCCGGATCGCGCTGACGCAGTCCTTCTCCAAGCTGTTCAGAGACCTGGGCCTCCCTGCTCGTGCCGTGAGCACCACCTTTGGGTGCAGGGTCAACGTGGCCATCTGCCTGCAGGTAAGGAGATGCATCTGGGCTGCCAGTGCCTCCTGCTGGCACAGCCAGGGACCAGCGGTTCCCCACATGGATCTGGGCAGCAGTGTACCTGCCTGGTCCATCTCTGCATCTCTGAGCATTTGATGTTTTGTTTCCACATAGTTGTTTAGCTTTGAGAGCTATGTCCTGTTGAAGAAGAAAGGCTTATTTGCAAAAAAAGAAAAAAAGTGAACAGCGTTTGTTCTACTCTTAAGAATCTTGCCGGGGATTATTTAGCTCAGTGGTTCTGCTGCCTGCCTTGAAGTGCAAGGTCCTGAGTTCGATCCCCAGTACCAAAAAGAAAAAAGAGAATCTTTAAGTTGGTCATAATATATAGTTAATTTTTTAAAAACAAGACTGAACTTAGTATTTTAAGACATCTAACCATTTTAAATTGGTTCACTAGTAAATGTAATCATTTTTATTTACTCAAACCCAGTTTTGTTGTTGTTGTTGTTGTTGTTATTTTTTTTTTTGGTACCGGGGATCGAACTCATGTCCTTGCGCTTGCGCAGCAGGTGGTGAAACCACTGAGCTAAATCCCCGGCCCTCAAACCCAGTTTTGAACCTGTCGTAAGACACAAGGGAAATAGGAAGTCTCAGGGACAGCATGCTCACTCCAGGCCTTCAACCTCAGTTTTCTAGATTCTGTATCCTTGTGTCTGTTTCACTTCTTTCTGAAAACTTCCTAAAACCAAACAGCCTATCAGATATCTACATGTCAGATGCTTCACTTGGCACACTTTGGAGAACAGCGGAGGGAGAGGTACCTCTTGTCCCAGGGCAGAGCGGTGGCCCTGGCTGGGTTCCCACAGCGTCTGCCAGTGCATGCCCACCCTTACTTGGCAGCACAGGTGAGGCAAGTCTGCGAGCAGAGGCCATGTTTGCCGCAGCAGCCTCTTCCTCTCCTGCTCATGTCCTCCACCCCGGAAAGACTCTTGACTGCTCCGAGCCTCAGGAGGTTGGGTGGGTCTGTGCTGTCTGTCCTGTGCTTGGCACAGGGTGGTGCCTGTGAGTTGAGATCCTGCCCTGCATTTGAAGCCGACGCCCTCCTTGCTAGATAAGGAGCATATCTGTTCTGTTTGTTGGCACGTGTGATTGCACAGCTCTTCACGGGATATCGGTGTTTGCTCCTATACAGTGATGTCTTTTGCTCTCTCTCCGTTCGTTTCTCATGGGTCCTGTGGCCTTCTGTTTGTGTTTCCTGTGGCTGTCTCCTCCCTGTCTCCCTCTGCTGGCCTCCTTGGCCCCTGTCAGCCCAACAGGCTGGGAAAGCTGGCTGAGCAGGTACGACCTTGACTTCACCCTCAACCTTGCTGGTGCTTATCTGTGTGCACCCCCTGCCCCTGTGCATGAGTTCCCGTGACCTTCTCATGAATCCCAGGCAAATACATGTTTCTTTTATCATCTTACTTTGTTCACAGTGGACATCATTTGACATATTACAAAACCCCTTTGCAAAGCTGGGCGTTGTGGCGCATGCCTGTAATCCCAGCACTTGGGGGGCAGAGGCAGAACTCAAACTGTGAGCTTGAGGACAGCCTGAACTGCATAGTGAAACTGTGTCTCAAAAAACAACAACCAAAAGAACCCCTTTGTGACAATATTTTAAATTAAAACTATTTTCAGAGATAGCAGTTTATGACATTACTTTGGGAGGAAGGGCTTACTCAGAAGGTTTTGTTTTAATTCCAGGGTGCACATAGGTGATGTTTCTGGGATCTTTAGGGAGTGCTGTTGATTGGGGTGCTCGTGTAATATGATGTTCTTAATTCAGTAAAATGGCAATACTGTCCTTTAATCATGACTAATATCAAATGGAAGATTTAGAAGTCAGGATGAGAATCAGCCTTCTGTCTCCTCTGAGAGTCTTTGCTGGGCTCAGTCCCCACCAGAATTAGTGCCAGGCACGCCCTGCTTGGTAGACATGTCCCCAGACCATAATGGAATTTTCATCCCAGTGAGATCAGTAAAAATAGGGAGTCATTAGAACTAAAATGAAAACGGTTTGATTGGTTTCATTCAGTTTTATCAAACACTCCACTTGATACCAAGCTCAGCGGGTATTTGGAGGGACAGTATCAGCCCTGCCTGGGGACCCCAAACCCCAGGGCCTCTGAGCCTTGGGCAGATGACTTCAGGGAGCAGCACTGCGGGAGGAGCTGCCCACATCTGTGCTGTGAAACCAGGATGGGTGTGAGGGCCCTGAGGAAGTTCTTCTGCTCCCCTTCCAGGGCACGGCTGGCCCAGACCCCACAACTGTCTATGTGGACATGCGGGCACTACGCCATGACAGGTAATATCCCTCCCCAGTCTGTGTGGCCTCATCCATACCTAGTAGCGGTGTCACAGATTGGATATGCACTGACAGTATACAGCACCTGCCGGACCCTGGTGTCAGGGACGGCTGGTGGGGTCAGAACTCCTCCGATCCCCAGATGTTAGTAGATGACTGGCCAGGTCAGGGCCATTAGCACCCTGAGGAGGAGTAACTCTGTGGGCCTTGGGCATGTGCCACAGGGAGGGTGGATCACCACCTTGCTTTCCTCTACCTTCAGAGCTGCAGTGAATGTCCTTACCCTTTTTTACTCGGTCAGAAAGGCGGCCAGCATGACCAAACATTAGGGATTTGCTTTTCATGGGGCTGAGTAGGAAACAGGACAGCTAGCTAATGGCAAAAACGTTCTTACCTGATGGCATTTCAGCCTCTGCCATGGTTTTCACATCAGGAAATGTGGGGCTGTGGTGTGTTCCGGCTCGGCTGTCACACTCCTCAGGGTCCTGCTAGCTGGGAAACTTGGATCCCCATTGTAGATCTTTAGATGTGCCCATATCACAGCTTGATGTAAACAGTCGCTGCAGCTCACCAGGAGCCAGGGCCCAGCCAGGTCGGGTTGAGGAGCCCCCCAGAGAACCAGATTACCCAGCAGGTGGGGGCATTGCCTGGGTGTCCACACCATGGGACCTTCCTCATTGGTGGTGCTCCCTGTGGCACCTAAAGTCCGGCTCAGGATAGTCCTGGCCAGTTTTTAATGAGGGGGTGCCATCCTGGCCATTGTCCACACACTGACCCTCAGAATGATAATCATTTTCCAATCATCTTGTGATTTGCCTTTTTAGAACTTACTATCTGTGTGAAATTTTTTACTCTGAAATTTTTTCCTTGTTAATTTTTAGGGTACGTTTGGTAGAACGAGGTTCTCCACATAGTCTGCCGCTGATGGAGTCTGGAAAGGTAGTAGAATCTGGGACTTGTGCACTGTGTGACATATTTGTCCTTTGTCAGGATGTCTAGGGCTCCATTCCCCTTGAGCCCAGTGACCTCTGGGCAGGTGCAGTGGGCTGCTGCAGAATCCTCTTCTGCCTGCCTGCCAGTACTCACAAGTATGAGGTTAAGTCTGAACACATGTCAAGCTCTGAGCCAATAGGGAGAATCCAGACACACCATGGCTGGGCATGAGGTGGACATGAATGGTCAGGACCTGGAGCCAAGGTCCTCTCCTCCCTGGACTTTTAGAGCTATAGGGTGTGTTGTTGCATTGTGGTAGTGTGCACCTGTAATCCCAGCTACTCGGGAGGCTGAGATGGGAGGATTGCTTGAGCACAGGAGTTCTGGGCTGCAGAGCACTATGCTGATTGGGTGTTCTCACTAAGTTTGACATCAGTGAGATGACCTCCTGGGAGCAGGGGACCACCAGGTTGCCTAATGAGGGCTGAACTGGCCCATGTCAGAAATGGAGCGGGTCAAAACTCCCATGATACTCAGTAGAATCACAGGTGTGCCCCCGGCCCTGGACTGGAAGGATAGGAATTCATGCCCTGGATGGGAGTGATAGCAAGGAAGAGGCCTCGCCAGGGCTGTTGGCAAGAGAAGATCTGGCCTGGTGAGGCCTCCAGTGTCTGCTGAGGGGTTGAGGGCTAGTGAGACTACATGAGGAGCCCAAGTGGAAACAGTGCAGCTAGCTGCCAGGGGTCAGCAGACACAGGCACAGGACAGAGTGAGCATTCTTGGAACCCAGGAAGGCGAACTAGGCAGCCTGAGAAAGGGTGCCAGGCTGGTGGAGTGGCTGGTGACATTACCTGGTGGGCCCAGCACAGCAACCACTGCTTATGAAGGGCTCGAGCACACCTGGAGGATGCCTCTCTGCACCTTCAGAACCCCAGGGGCAAGGAGCAGAGCTTGTTGGCTCCACTTGCTTGGTGCCATGGCCATGGCTGCTTTTGCAGAGACAGCATGGTGCCCAGAGAGGGCCAGAGCCAACCAGTCACACAGTGACCAGCACAGGGATCCCTGTCAGGCCGTGGGGTAGCTCTGGGGCACCACTGTGCAAAGACAGTAGGTGGAAGCCACAAGGACCATGTGGCCAGAGCAGAATGAGTGAGCCAGGGCAAGGTCTTGCAGAGTTCAGCCCCAACCCCTTTTAAAGTTGCTCTCAGTGGACCAGCAGGAGCTGAGTCAGATCCTGCAGAGGATGGCCCATCTGTGGGGAGACTGAGGCCACCAGCCTCTTCTCTAAGCTGGGGTTAGTATTCCTTGATTTTTGCAGTTCTTTCCCTGTGTTCTTCCCCTTGGGTACCACTTGTCCCAGTTCGTCCCCTGCTGAATGTGGCTGGTGTGCAGTTCCACTTGCCTCTCTTGTGGGATTTTCTTGGTCTCTCCTGTTTCACTTGGGCATGACAGATCAATGCTTTGGAAGGAGAGCTTTGGTTTCAGGGTTCAAATAGGCCACATGGGGAGAGAGTAGGGGCTCCAGCAGCATCCTGGGAGACAGAACTGTCCCCACATGGCAGAGCAGGGAAGGGCCTGGTGGCAGCCATGGGCTCCTACTTCCCATTAAACTTGCCTCTCTTCCACCTGTTCTGAGACCTGCACTGTCACCGTCTTGCTTCATACATGGAGTAACTGAGGACACAGGGCAACCGGCCAAGCCTGGGGAGGGGGCACCAGGTCTGGGCATGGGAGGCTGGGCAGGAGCCAGGCATGAGAAATGCTTCCCAATAGTCAGGTTCCTGGATCCCACAGACATGGCTTCCTGCAGAGCCGGGGCTGCAGGTGGACCCAGGGATCCTCCGCCTTAATGAAAGCCCCAGGGTAAGCTAGCCCTCACCCAGACCCCTACCTCTCCCGACAAACCAAGACAGGGCCCATTTCCTCCTTCCAGATCCTCCCTGGGGTGAAGGTCATCATTGCACACACCGAGACCAAGGGGCCCCTTGGAGACTCACACCTGGGTGAGGTAGGTGGAAGCCAGGGCTACATGTGGGCTCTTGGGGAAGCATGAGAGCCCTCCAGCCTTGTCAGCTTTGCCCTCCTTCCCTTCCTGCCCCAGATTCAGGAATTCTAAACCCTTGAAGGTCAGTTATGTCTTTCAGAATCCCAAAAATTTTCTCTGCTTTCACCCAAGCACTTGTGTGCCAGACCAGCTCCTGTGTAGGATGTCAAGGTGCTGTGGGACAAGCAGCCCCCTCCCTGGGTCACACCACCAAAAGAGGGTGCTTCAAGTTCTGAGGGCATTGGGAGGCCAGCGGAGATGTGAGGAACCAGCAGCAGCAGCATGGGAAACTGCTGCCTTGGGCAGAACCCATCAGCTGCTTCATAGAGAGTGGTTCCTGTGCTGAGTGAGGAGGAAAACCACAGGGCTCAGGGACAGCGCAGGACCGGGTCCTGTGGACATATGACTGTGAGGAAGAAGTTAATGGCTACATGTGTACTTGTGTCCAGGCATCTGCCATAATCCAGAATAGACAAGGCCCCTCATTGGCAGGAGCAGGTCAGCCTATCAGTCACAGGGAGGGGCAGGCCAGGCCCTGTCAGTCACAGGGAGGGGCTGGATACAGCCTGTTAGTCACAAGGCAGGGTGTTCCAGGGCCTGTCAGTCACGGGGCATGGGAGTGTCGACCTGTCAGTCACAGGGAGGGGCAGATCAGGGCCCGGAGTCACAGAGAGGGGCAGGTCAAGGCCTGTCACTCATAGGGAGTCACCTGTCCTTACAGTGGCACCCAGGGCCTGTCACGGTAGGCACTGTGGCTTTGTCGAGTACAGACTGTGTCAAGAGGCCCGCCTGGGCATTCTGTGGGAGTGAGACTTGAGTGTGCTGTCCAGTTGCCGTCCTCACTCGAGGTGTGCGCAGAACTGTTGGGCCTCCCTCATGGCTAGTCTGGGGGCTTCTGGTGAGTAGTGCAGATCCTTCCCTGCCTGGCTCGCCAGACAGGACAAGGGTGTGAGCTGTGCCCCAGGTGTGCAGATAGCATCCTGGTGAATGATGTCCCTGTCCCAATCCCAAGTGCAGTCCACGTGAGGGCCGCCCAGCCCCATGCTGCATCCTGGCCTGCAGAACCCAGTTTTGAGGGGCAGGGCACACCTCCTAGGAGATGAAGCCCTGCATCTGGAGGACTCACCTTCATGGCAGCTGCTCAGGGGAGGAGCCCCTGCCAGCTGCCCCTTCCCCTTCAGATGCTGCTGTAAGGTGGTGAAAGTGTCGGGTGCTGCCTGGGCCCTGTGCACTCCTGTGTTTAGGGAGTCCCAGTACCGGAGAGCTGTAGGTGCGTTCCTCTGGCCTTTCATCTGTGCACATGTGAGTGACCAGCACGAGTGCACAGGTGCCATCTCTATTAGGCCATTGCTGTCTCAGCATGAGCCTGAGCAGCCATGTTTCACTCCACAAGAGACCCTCACTCCTGTGACCTGTCCCCACAGTGGACCCCAGAGTGCCACGAAGTCTCTCTTCACTCTCAGCATTGACTGATGTGAGAAATATGGGTTCACCTCTGTGCACCAATCCATGCAGCATCAGTGACGACACACAATACTCCAGGGTCAAAAGAAGAAAGTTTATTTGAGTGATTATGTTTGCTTTCTATGCCTGTAGTTGTGTCAGTTACCAAAATAAGACGTTAAAAATAATAGCAAGCACCCCCAGTTGATTCATGTTTTCCTGAGGTTAGCCTTGGCCAACAGATATCTCCGGATAGAGTCTGTACCCAGTGGTTCGTAGCATGCCCACCTTTTTGTCCTCTGGGCCCCACCAGATCTGGGTAAGCAGCCCCCACAATGCCACCGGGTACTATACAGTCTATGGGGAGGAGGCCCTTCATGCTGACCACTTCAGTGCCCGGCTGAGCTTTGGAGACACCCAGACTGTTTGGGCAAGGACTGGCTACCTCGGCTTCCTTCGAAGAACAGAGCTTACTGATGCCAGCGGAGGTAAGGGGTCACGGTGATGTGCCTGCCTTGGCACTGCCAGCTGGGGCTGGGCTCTGCTGCTGCTGCAGGAGCCTAGCTCGCTTAGCCAGATGTCCCCGGATGAGAGTGCCCCTATACCCACCTGCACCTTCCCTCCTTGCTCTGATCTCATATGGGTCTGTTCGGGTGAAGGACTGCTCCAAGAGCAGTTTTCTCTGAGAATTACTTCCCTCCGTGTCTGCCCTTGGCCTTAGTGAGGCTATGGTGAGAAGGCTGGAAGGGTCTCTCACCCCTTCACCAGTGTGGTCAGCTGTGCACAACTCATCAGCCAGGAGTGGCGGCCCCAACCCTGACCACACAGAGGTGTGCCCAGGGTCAGAAGGCCACAGCTCCACAGCAGCCCTTTCAGCTCAGAGAAAGCTCTGAAAGCAGTGGCCCCATGGTTGCTGCTGTTCCCAGAGATAAAGATGACTTTGAAATACGTATTTACATGTCACTGTACCTTTGCTGAGGTGGTTGCTCACAGCACAGGACAGCCTGGGCTGCCAGCATCTCCACCAACCCTCCCTGCATGCTTCGCCTCATGTCTTCCCTGTGCCCTGAGTACACAGACACTGGTGTGCAGATGCCGCGTGTGCCCTCCCCTGAGTGTGTACACACGTGTTCATAGAGCGACACGATGCGCTGTATGTTGTTGGGTCTCTGGACGAAACGCTTGAGCTGAGAGGCATGCGGTACCACCCCATCGACATTGAGACATCTGTGATCCGAGCTCACAGGAGCATCGCAGAGTGGTAAGAGCCCAGGCCAAGGACAAGCCCTGCATGGTCTACCTAGCCCTGCTCTGGTCATGAGCACTGCCAGGCACTGCCATGCCATGAGGACAGGCCACCTGTATGGTCACGTGGTCTCCGGCACACTAGACTGCTACATTAGACTGGTCCTGTTCCCGGATGCCGCTAGGACCACCTCCCTCCCAAAGGCGCCTGGCTTCTGTGGGTCCTCCTTCCTCTGGGGATGTTTCTAGACAACAGCACCAGAGAATGTCATTGCCTTTGTTGGTTTTTTCCCTTTTCCTAACCAGCTTTAAGAGAAGAGACTCTCTAAAGGTACAGTCAAAATCTAACAAATGTGTGCCAGTTTTTTACTCTTTGTTGGCACCCTTTCCCAAACATGGGCCCCAGTGGCTGTGCAGGCCCTTGTGACACCTGTTTCCCCCACAGTGCCGTGTTCACCTGGACCAACCTGCTGGTGGTGGTGGTGGAGCTGGATGGTCTAGAGCAGGATGCATTGGACCTGGTGGCCCTGGTGACCAGTGTGCTGTTGGAGGAGCACTACCTGGTGGTAGGCGTGGTGGTCATTGTGGATCCAGGCGTGATCCCCATTAACTCCCGGGGGGAGAAGCAGCGCATGCACCTAAGGGATGGCTTCCTGGCCGACCAGCTGGACCCGATCTATGTGGCCTACAACATGTGAGCACCAGGCAGCAGAGCCCAGGGAGGAGCCGAAGAAAGTGTGAGGCGAGGAGATGCTACAGTGTCCCCACCCCTGGAATAAAGGGGCCCAGTGTCCTTAAAGGTTTCCTCCTTCCTGTGCTTTTACTGATCCCTCTCAACAGTTCTCAACTCCCATTTTAGAAAGCATTTCCTGAACAAGCTAACGATATATTTTGGTTCTGCCAAGTACATTTACAGAAACATGAAAGCCAGCATTTTTTTTAAACAAGCAAGAGATTGATTGATTGTATTTTGTTTTATCGTGGTCCTGGGGATTGAACCCAGAGCCTAGTGCGTGCTAGGCAAGCGCCTAACTGAGTAACATCCCCAGCCCTGGAAGCCAGCTTTTTAACAGGTGGAGTGACTGGGAAGGAGAGGAAAGACCTGGTGTGGGCGCTTGAGAAGTCACAGATACCACAATTGTTCTCTGTTTGTACTTTTTAAGGCTAAAAATGTAGTTCTTGGTTTATAAAATTGAACTATTTATCCCCACCTCAAATGGCAACTTCACACGTGGAATTTATTCTAGAGAGGACTTAGCGGCCTTGAGCACAGCTGCCTCTTCTGTTGCACGGGGCAGAGCCGAGCACAGCAAGGCAGGGAGAGTGGTGCCCACCCTCCCTGCAGACCCGCACTAAGTGCTGCTTCTTTGCCAGTTCCATCATTGAGACAGATGTGCCAGTTGTCTACGTATGTTGTCGCCAATACTCAGTAAGTGCCATTTTGCACTGTCAAGTTAGAGCCTTTGTTTCAAAAAGATAAACCAGCATTTAGTTTTAAATCATTGTCCTGTTTTGAAACTTCATGCTGTTTAAATTGCTACTTTTCATAACATTACAACATTCTTCTTATGGAAGTATACTGAGTGATTTTTATCCCAAGTCAACAGATTTGATGGCGGTCCAGGGTTGCCCCGCCACTGCCTGTCCTTGCATCCCGTGCAGTTTTGGGGCTGGGAGCCAGGGCCAGGGGCCAGGGGTTGGAGGCCACTGTCCCATGTTAATGGTGGGGATAGTGACACCCTCACTGGCTTTTGCATTTTGAATTGTGTGCCTGTAAAATGTGGCAAACCATTTTAGTTATTTCATTCAAACTTGATTAAGCTGAGTTATCTAATAGTATACAGAACCTAAATCAAAGAAGGGAATGTAAAATCCTTTGGATACTTCTAAGAAATGGAAGTCAAGCACGAATCTAAGACATAGATTATTTTTATATAGCCAATTAAGAGTATGTTATGAAGTTGTTGGTTTTGGGGGCATTAGCGGTGGGGAAGTTTATGAATCATGCATGCTTCACAGGAACAACCAGGTTTTTCTGGAATTAGCCTGGATCAGTGCCTGAGTAGCTGTTGTTCACAGTGGGTCTGGCCAGCGGGGCCAATGCCTGTTTTACCCTGGTTTGACTACAGATAGCACTGTGTGCAGTAGCCTTGTATGCCTATGGCATTAGACTGTGGTGTGCTATGTTGGACAGGTTGGAGTTCTAATAATCCTGTTGTAATTATGTACAGAATCCATGTAACATATTGTTTGGCATACAGAGATTTTCACAGTGGACTAATGGACATTCTTTGCAATAGAGTGGCTGAGAAGAGAACAGCGCTACCTAATCCCAGTCTTCTACCTAACCCCGATCTTCATGTTGTAGATTTTTTAGCAAACAAAAATTGTAAACATTTTGTATTAAGGGTCAGTGGAAATAAGACACTATCTGGTAAATTAAGAGTTTAGGGAGTGCATTAAAATGTTTTGAAATTATTCTCTGGGAATTATGTATATCACACTAAAATATTTTATATCATTATGTTAATAAAAGTTATTGATGGTTTGTAATTCTGCATTTTGAAATGTGTGAAAAGGTTTTAAAATTTACTCCAAATAGGATGTATTTTAATTATTTTTTTCAGACTGTGAAAGCAGTTATGCTTATAGCATAAAATCTAGAAAGCACATTTAAGTGTTAAGAAAGAAAGTAAAAAATCTATATAATCTTATCTCTGACTAATAACAGCATTAGTATTGACATAAATATTCTCAGGGATTTACTCTATCCTTTAAATAATTTTTGCAAAATTAGGATCATATACTTATTTTATAATCTGCTTTTGTACTCAATAAATTATAAACGTTTAAATCTGTTACATACACTCTTTATATGTTTTAATGACTCCGTCCTATTCATGTGCCATGACTCTTGCCATATACCAGTGTTATTTCAGCAGAGCCTGGTGAACGTCCTCTTAGATGTATGTTTTTCACCTCCAGATTACAGTGACTGCCTTGGGCTCAGTTCTCACAGCTGTGTGAGTGGGTCAGTCTGCACCAGGCGTTTTGGGTTCCCGCTGTCCTCAGAAGACTAGAATGGCAGTGTGGGAGAGCCCCCTTTCCAGCAGTGCTGGCAGTGGACTTTGGTTCAGGATTAAGGTTAGATGCTGAATGTGTTTTCATGTGTTGCTCGTAACCATTTTTATTTCTAACTGGATACATTCTGTTCAGATTTTGCAGTTCTTGTGCTCAAGATTTTTTTTAACTGATTTGTAGAAGCTGTTTTATACTAAGAATCTTAAAAAATAGTCCATATTTTTTCTAGTGGGTCATTTTTTACTTTATTCTACTTAAGATTTTTTAAAAACTATATTTAGTTGTACTTACCTTCAGACTGTGAACACAGCTGATGTATTTCAGAAGCAGTTCTGCTGCAGTGATCAGTGTAAGCCTACAAAGCAGCACATGGAGAGGAAAACTTGCCTTTGTATCTGCTCAGGGGCTGCCACAGGCCAGCCTTGGGTCTTCCAGGCAGAGTTCTCCCTCCCAGAGGACCAGAGAACATTTCAGAACACCATGCACATTATCTGCTGAGTACAGGAAGAAGAGGAAAGAGCATATCCTTTCATCTGAGATCATTTTCCATAAATTTTCAGTCTTACAGAGTTAGGGCACTGGTGGCGAACCTATGGCATGTGTGCTACAGCGGGCATGCACAGCCCTCTCTGTGGGTGCATGAGCCAAATCGCCCCAGCAGCTGAGCCTAGGATATTAAAGTTTAATTGCAGTGTTGGCACTTCGTGATAAATGTGGGTTTTGTGTTGCAGTTTGGGCACTCAGTCTCTAAAAGGTTTGCCATCACTGGATTAGGGACTTTCCCATTATAATGGATACAGTGACAGTGTTTCAACATTGTGAGGCATTCATTTTGCAGTAGCATGTTCAGTTCAGTAATGGAGAATTCTTTTAAAAGGTAACTATGTGCAAAATTTCAAAACTGTTTTTTCCATTTTTGCTTATTACTGAGTAACTTGTGTTTAAGCAGAATGATTTTTTAAAGTATCCAAGCAGGTGTCTGGACTTTAAGAAATTCTGGAGCTGCAAAGTACACTAAAATAAAAAACTCTAGTTTGAGGGATTCAGAGGGAGATTTGAGTAGGCAAAAGAAAGAATCAGCAAACATGAAGATGGGACAACAGAAATTATTGAGTCTGAGGGACAAAAAGAAAAAAGCAGAAAAGTGAGTAAAGCCAAGGGGACCTGTGGGATACCATCAAGCCAACCAACATATCGACATCTGGGGGACGTGCAGAGAAACATGCAAGAACATACAAGAAGCTTAAGAAACTTCAAGGAAGACAAACTCCAAGAGGCCATGCAGATAGAAACAAACTTTTGAAAGCCAGAGGAGAATCTTGAAGGCAGTAATTTATCATATGTAAGATACTGAGACTATCAGATTTCTCATCAGAAATTGGAGACCAAAAGGCAGTGGGCTGATACACTCAAAATGTTAAAACAAACAAAAAAAAAAACTGAACCAAGAATCCTATACCTGGCAAAACTGCCCATCAAAAGTGAGGGCAAAGCACTCCGTGAAGGTAAGTGCATGAGCAGTTATAAACTCTGGTATCACTATAAGCGGTTTGTCACTGAACTTTCTGTTTTCTATATGCTTTAAGGAATTAATACATTTACAATATTAGCTGAAAGCTATTATTCTAATTATTCTAACTTCATTTCATTACTGTACATGTTTTCTGTGCAATTTAAGAGGTCAAAGTGCTTTAAAGAAAGTATGTTTTGGGGCATACAATGTATAAAGATGTAATTCTGTGGCATCAACAGTGGAAAGGGGTGGGACCTAGGGTATTTGTGGAGCCAAGTTTTTTACATATGACTGAAGTTAAGCTGGTAAAATTCAAGTTATAATGTTAGAACTTTGGGAAATTAAATGTAATGCCTATGGTAATGTAATTTAATGTAATCCCTATGTAATTTAATCCCTATGGTAATTACACAGAAAATAGCAATAGAATATATACAAAAGGAAGTAAGAAAAGAATTTTAAAATGTTTCTACCAAAGATCAACCAAACACAAAAGACAGTAATGCAGTAAGTATGGGACAAAAAGAGTTATAAGTCACGTAGAATACAAAGAGCAACTTGACAAGAGTAAGTGCCTCCTTAGCAATAGTTATATGTAAGTGGATTAAACTTCCAATCAGAAGACAGAAGTTGGCAAAATGGATTTAAAAAACATGATCCATCCAACTATATGCTATCTACAAGGGATTTATTTTAGGTTCAAAGCACAAATAGTCTGAAAAGGAAAAGTACATGAAAATAGTAACCAAAAGAGAGCAGGGACAACTATACTAAAACAGAAAATATTGACCTTAAATCAAAAATGGTTATAAGACACGAAGAGGAACAATATAAGGGCCAGGGATTTAGCTCAGTGGCACTGTGCCTGCCTCCCTAGCTCAAGGCCCTGAGTTCAATCCCCGGTACCGAAAGAAAAAAAATCGGACAATATAGTAATAAAAAGTTCAGTATAACAAGAATATATATCAATTATGATCAAAGCATATGAAACAAAAACTGATAGAAGTAAAGGGAAAATAGATAATTCCATAATAATAAATGGAGACATCAATACCCTTATCTCACTAATGGACGGAAGTTGGAAGTTGTAGACAATGTAAGTCGGGAAAGAGATGATTTAAGCAACCCAATAAATCAACTAGGTCTAAGAGATACAGAATCCGCCAACAACAGATTATACATATTCTTCAGTGCATCTGCAACATTTTTCAAAACACCGTATGTTAGGCCCCAAACTAAATCTCAGTGGATTTAAAAAGATAGGTATTACACAAAGTCTCTTTTTAGGGCTGGGGATTTAGCTCAGTGGTTTCACTGCCTGCCTCACAAGCACAAGGTCCCGAGTTCGATCCCTGGTACCAAAAAAAGAAACAAAACCCAACAAAATCTCTTCTTGGATCACAGTAGTGTGGAGTTAGAAATCAGTAACAGGGAAAACATGTCTGGGTTAGACCAGTCTCAGCTCCTCTCCCTGGTAAGTGGCCCAGACCAGAGTTTCCCTGAGAGCTGCTGGGCAGCGTGTTTTAGGGAAGGAGACCCAGCCGGCCGTACTCCCCCCAGCTTCCCTGAAGCCCCCTGTGCCCTGGGGAGTCTCTCACCCAGGCTTGGGCAGCATCTGAGGATAGAGTGAAACCCGGAAGTCTCATTTCTGGGACGTTTGGTCCTGGTCCTGCCCCAGCAAGTGTTTTGTTTTTACTTCATATTAAATTACTACAGAGAATTTCTATGGTAATCTTTTTATATAATGCAAGTACAAGCAAAAAATCAGTTGGTTAAAAAAATAAAACAGAAAAAGGAATAAGATCAGTTTGATTTTTTCTGGAGTGACTTTTAATAGTTGTAACTTGCTTTTTATTAGTAACTTTAATTATTTGAACTTATTTGAATATGCAGATACAAAAGCATCAAGTTCAGCCTCCCACATCTCAACTTGAACTGACCAGGTAGGGAGCAGGTGTTCTCTCAGCACCAGCAGGTCAAGAATGACGTCAACCAACAGAGACTCATCCAAGAGGCCCTGCAGTCCAGAGCAACACACCTCACCAACCCTGACCTTGCGGTCACTCATTTGATAGACAGCAGAGACTGCCGTGGAGTTGACATTATTTGCTGCACAACTACCTAGAGGGCAGACCCTAAACACTGGTCCTGAGCCTAACCATGCTTCTCCTGCGCACACGTGCTGCAGGGCCACGGGGGTGTGTGTCATCTAGAAAAACCCTGCTGGATGCAGAATTTTGATTCTCAGTTCTGCTAAATGTCAGTACTTGTTGGTTCGTGAGACATTTTCCGTTTAGATGGTAAGCATTAAATATTTACTCAGTAATCACAGCTCACTATAAGAAAAAGGATTTAAAGATGACCATGCTCTTTTGGATGGGAGTGACGGTGTGGTCAAGCCATGTTTAGGCTTTACTTGGACAAATGATGAACAATGGAAGGAAGGGCAGCCTTTTTGAATGACAGTGGACAAGGTTTTGTATTTTCAGGTTTTTTGGAAGCCATTCTGCAGGACTCCTTTGAAAAGCCCATTTTGTTTTTTCTGGGTTAGGATTCTGCTAGGCCGTGGTGGTCTGTACAGCGCATGCTTTATGATAAAAATTGACTTTCCTAAGTGATTATTGCCAGTAGTCTTGAAACCACACAAATGCCTAACAGCAGAAATAATGACAGCGATTTAAGCAGCCCTTGGAAAGAAGCTTTCAGTTTTTCATTCAGAAAGCAAATCAAGCCTCCTAATTAGCTACACATGGAAAGCTCAGCCCCTGCCTGCCCTTGTTTTCTGATTCCCTGCATGACTGTCGTCTCTGTTACAGGAACAGTTTGGCTGCCTCCTGTTTCACTCATGGCAGGCAGTGGTCACCATGGCAACGAAAGCCATAAATTCCTGGAAGTCACATTCTCCATCTCCATCTTCATCCAGTGTTTCCATGACTTTGTCCACAACCTCCTGCTCTTTGATTTCCTAAGAAAGATAGAGAAGTTGCTCACCTTTTTTTTTGTTTGTTTGGTACTGGGGATCAAACTCCAGACCTTGTGCTTGCGAGGCAGGCGCTGGAACCACTGAGCTGAATCCCCACCCCTCACCTTGTTTTTCAGTGGGAATACAGAGTCATGGTAATGTGAGTAAAAGTTGGATGACTGGTCATTTGCCTCAGAAATAGCCCCAGCGTGGGAAATGAAAAATGTCAGAAGAGATTTCTCCTGTGACCTAGGGCTCCATTGGCCATGTAGGCGTCTCTGTGAGGTCTGTGCCTCTCCCCCTCCTTACTTTAGGTCCAGTGGGACCTTGGTTCCTTAAAGACAGATGGAATAACCACATGTGAAAAACTACAGGATGTTAGCATACTCGAGAGATCTGGAAAAACAATAATGACTGGGAAGAAGAAATGAACTCCTGGCACTTCTGGTGTGTGTGTCTGTGTGGTAGAGTCTCTATAGTAAAGGCTCCTAGCAGATTATAATGTTTGCTGAAGTGACTTGGGAACATGTCCTAAAGTTGTTATAACTTCCTGTGTTTTTTTGCTATTTGTGTTACTTTATAGGCGTTAGGAAGTGTTGTCCTGAAGCTTCTCCTGCCTGAAACCAAAGCCAAACACATGGTAAGGTTAAGTGTTAAATACAGAGTAGGGCTACAAAGGTGGGTAAAAGAATGTAGGCATTGAACCTGAAGAAGCTGTCACAGGATAAAACAGCTATGAACTTGAATGCTTGAAAGACAATCCCCAATTGTTTAGAATAACAAATCTCCAGGGCAGGAAAGCTTGGCCTGAAAAAGTCAGTACCATGGCTACTCAGAATATGGAAGGTTTGGTGTAAAAGATGGCGTATTCCCCTGGGGTTGGGGTGGGATCTGTAACCATTTGCCAAAAGATGGGTGGGAGCAGTGCATACCTTTCAGTTACATCACAGGTGCTGTGCTCCCCATGGGGGAGCCCTGTGCTGAAGGCATGGTCCCCAGCCAGTGGCTCTGTTTTAGAGGTGAGGCCCTCTGGAAGGATGCTGGCCTCAGGGAATGTGCCCTTCCTCTCTGCTTCCTGGCCACCAGGACCTAAGCTGCTTTTCGCCACTGTGTGCCCTCCAGGGTGTTCTGCTTCACCATAGGCTCCCAGCAAGAAAGCAGTCTAACCATGGAGAAAACCTCTGAAACTGTGAGTCAAAGTAAACATTTGGTTTGATTTTTTTCAGGTGTTTGTTACAGGAATGGAAAGCTGTCACAATAACTTTTCTTCCAAACTCAATTACCTTGATAAATGCAGGCCAGCAGATATTTCTGATACCTTGCTATGCTCACTGGGAGTTATTTATAAATCATGGTTCCTACATGCTAAACCTTTCCTGTTTTAAAAACAGTCATTAATAACAGAGTATACTTTTTTTGTAAATACTCTTCTGTAGCTCTGTTGAGTTTTTACTATACATTGAGCACTAGACACTGTCTCACTTCATCCTTCTATAATCTTTTATATAGGTTAAGAAATGAGCTTTACGAAGTCAAAGGCTGAATTGGGGGAAGTGGATGACTGGTCACAGAATAAGGCAGCTGTCACCCTGTGAACTTGAATGGTTGAGGAAAACAATCCCAGAATTAGATTAGAGGATGACCCCAGCAAGCCTGCAGGCCTGTTGCCTCCAGAGGTGGAGACCATTTAGGTAGGTGGGACAGGAGAATCACACCCAGCCCTGGAGGCAGTGTGTCTTACCTTGCTGCTGGAGCCCAAGGCCTGTTGTCCTGCAGGAGACAGCTCAGGAACTGACAGGCCCTTCCCCTAATGTCATCCTCAGAATTGGCATATAGTCACCACTGTACTGACTCAAGGACCCAGGCTTCCAAAGGATGTGTACAGACTTCCATCATGGCCTCTGTCAAGAGGTCATTCATCACTGATGGATCAGGCTGGGCACTCGGAGAGCACAGGCTGTCTTTTGGCCTGCGTCTCTCAGTGCTAAGTCCTGAGTGCCCAGTAAATGTGTATGGAGTGAACGTCTGCACTTTCACTTCCATGGTAAATACTAAACACCTGGACAAAGCCACAATATATCCTGTTCCTAAAAGCTTATTTCTAACAGCTTTCTTATATGTTTGGTTTGGCCCGTGATAAGACGTAAGTGTTTTTCTGCCGTCTTCTGCTGTCATCATCACTTGTAAATCCTTTCCGTTTTCAAGGACAGATGACAGGGACCATCCAGGCAGCCTCCACACTGAGGGAACTGCTACCCAACAAGCTTCCGGCCACAAACCAGGAATCCCGAAACAGAGCCAGAGTTACCTTCCAAGCAGCTCAGAATAGAAGCGTAAGGTGCTTTTGTTAGCAGAGAGGAAAATTTGCAAACTTGATTTTAAAAAGCAAGACTTGGGCCGGGGGTTTAACTCAGTAGTTCCGCTGCCTGCCTCGCAAGTGCAAGGACCCGAGTTCGATCCCCAGTAAAAAAAAAAAAAGCAAGACTCACCTCCAGGAAGTGGGAGAGCTCGTTGTTGATGAGTTCCTTAAGTTCGGATTTCTTCAGCTTGTGCTTGTCACCTTCCCTTCCAGAGTACTGATGGAAAACCTCAATGAGGGCCACCACAGCCTTCTCCAGCTCAGACATCCTACAGTCCACAGAGAAGAAATGCCTCCTCATGCTCTCTGCCTCGTATGCCCATGGTGTGCTTACGTGTTACCGCCCAGACCTCAGCCCAGTGAGGGGTATGTTGGCCTGGGGTCGTCTTGTGAGGCCAGACTGGGAGTTTGCACTTTTATCCCAAGTCTTTGCTCTGCCTCTTTGGGCCTCCCTTCCCTTATGCCCCTGTGGCCTGGAAGATAAGCTTTCTGGCCTTTGTCTTCTGGTCGGTTCTATGGGAAGCTTCAGCAACAATACCAGGACAGAGCAGCTAGGGGACACAGGAGCAGATTCCTACTTCCTTCCCACAGGCTGCTCGCCGCCCTGGCAGGGCTCCAAGATGAAGTGGTAGAAGGCAGATGACTGGATTTGGAGCAGGAAGGTGAGTAGCAACAAATAAGTATGTAAAAATCAATAGCACTCTTCTATCCTATTAATAAAAAATTAGAAAGGTCGGGTGTAGTGGTGCACGCCTGTAGTCCCAGCACTTGGGGGACTGAGGCAGGAGGATAGCTGCAAATTTGAGGCCAGCCTGGGCTACATAGTACATTCAAAGCCAGCCTGAACTACATAGTGAGACCCTGTCTCAAAAAAAATTAGAGAATACAGTAGAAAGTATACTATTCATATAACAATAAATATTACCAAAGTTTACGAAGAAAAATGCAGATTTTCCAAAAGATTTAAGGAACATAAAATGTAGGGACTTACTTTTGTTTGAGTTAATGTATAAATTTGAGCCATTTTATTTTTTATTTTATTTTTTTTGGTACTAGGGATTGAACTCAGGTCCTTGCACTTGTGCAGCAGGCGGCAAAACCACTGAGCTAAATCCCTGGCCATGAAGCCATTTTAAATAAGAATACTAAGTTTTTGATGGGTGAGGAATATAACAAAAGTAGATATAAAATTCATCGGGAAAAATAAGAATTGCCACAATTTAAAAAAATAGATAACAATGAGAGATGTTTGATCTGCCAGAAATAAAAAGCTGTTTAGAGGCTACAGACACAGGGCAAGCATACAGCAGGACCACCTCCCACCACCTCCTTGATGGCTCCTGCTTAGGACAGGAGTGGTGGCTGAGCCAACAAGGCTGGGACCGGGTACAGGGACTGAGAAACCTCCTGTTTCCCGCACCAGGTGCACCTGATGCTGTGCTACAGGATATCTGCCCCATCCTGGGAGTGGGGCACACTTGACCAAGGATGCTGGTAGCTTGTTTCACAAAAGCAAGCTGCTCAGGCTTAGAAGCTTGCCAACTGTAGACCTTGAGTTCTAATTATTAAATAACTTTTGCACTGTCGTAATTTTTTAAATTTAAGAATTAAATGTTGAAAAATTATTCCCATGTTGAATTTATCATATCTGAAAATAATTTGTAATAAAATGCTGATCATTTTATTTCTGTTCTCCCAAAGGAAACGGGATTGAAGATTTTCATTGCGCCTCGAGCTTTGTTAGTCTTCCTGTTAATGATCAATGTATTGTGTTTTGCTCTTAAGTTCCTGAAAAATCTAATAGATCACATACAAATAGAACAATTCAGGTTGACTAAAATCTTTAACATTTCATACTCTTATTCTTTGCACTCAAGTTTTCAACTATTTTTTTTGGTACCGGGGATCGAACTCAGGTCCGTGTGCTTGTGCAGCAGGTGGTGAAACCACTGAGCTAAATCCCCGCCCTCAACTACTGGTTTTTTAAGAAACAAAATCTCAAAAAAATGTTTGCATCATTCTCATGCTTCTTAAAGTCTATGATGATTAGTAGATGGGAAGGTTAAATTATTTTTTTATGAATTATGACTAATGGTATGTGTAAGAAGAAAGAGCATGAAACATACATTCCATAAGCTAGAAAAGTCTATTAAATATAGTTTCTTCATTATCACACTACAAATTAGTTAAAAATATTGTCCTGTAAAATTCTTCCTTTTGACTTAAGAAACAGTTGGTGGTTTATAGGTTATCTTTAAGGTAAATGGAAGTAAATGGCCATGTTTTCTTTTCCCTTCATTCTGTGAATGTTCCCATTAATCTTTTTATATTGAAAACAAGAAGGTTTGGACTTCACTGAGCAACACCTTCCATATCATGTAAGGGCCCCTGTATAGAAGGGGCTTTCCTGCCTGAGAAACTTATGACTTAGGGAAGTCAAACCCTCATAAACCCCAATTTCTTTCACCCAGTTCATACCTTGTAATTATTTGTAAAGACCTTCTCAGTTGTCATGTGATTTTTGCAGATGTGAGGACCTTGGCATTCAAAAAGAGGAAAACTGGAAAACCGGGACACAGTTACCCAGAGCCATAGAAGAGGGAACTAGGAGAAATGAAAATGTTGGGCCTAACCTGGTGTTGTGCTCAGTCCTCAACATCATCCCTCAACCCTGGAGAGAAGCAAATCTTTTTTTTTTTTTGTATCAGGGATCGAACTCGAGTCCTTGCACTTGCAAGGCAGATGGTGGATCCACTGAGCTAAATCCCCGGCCCAGAAGCAAATCTTTGAAGAGAAGAAGCAGTGTTTGTGCGAAAATGTCGTCTGAGCCACTAGACCTGGGGTTTGACTGATTTATGGTAATAAAATCTGCAAATGCATCTCTAGCTGTCTGATCAAGATGCAGTCAAGTGTCAACAGAGCAGCAAAAATAATATCAACATTAAAGTCAGGGTAAAATTACATAATACTGATGGCAGTTTTGCAATGTCACCAGTTGTTCCAAAAGGGCTTTTTGTTTGTTTTTTGTTACCAGGGATCAAACTCCGGACCTTGTGCTTGCGAGGCAGGCAGCAGAACCACTGAGCTAAATCCCTGACCCCCAAAAGGGCTTTTTAAGCTACCACTTAATTCCCAGCCAGAATCCCTGAGTCCCCCCTGCCTCCCCCCAAAAAGCATTTTTTTCCTTAGTGTCCTCATCCAGGGGTTTTCTCTCACCTCCTCCTGGTCACCTCCTCGTGGTGGCGTCTCTGGCTGCAGCGTCCTGGTCTGGGCAGAGGCAGCCTTTTATTCCTTCTTCCTGGGGTGGCTGGGTGGGGGTCCTGGCACAGTCCCACTGCGTCCCAAGGCAGCCAATGGGGGCAGAGGGCGGGGAGGTGGGGAGGTGGCAAGGCAGCCAGATCTGCACACAGGGCTGCATTGACCAGTGTCTCCAGGGACTTGCTGGGCAGCCAGATCGCACATGGCAAGAAAGAGAAAGCAGCAGGAAGTGAGGAGTCAGCTTTTGTGCATTTTTAAAACTTATTACATAAATATTGATGTTCCTCTAAAGCCAAGGTTGGGGGTGGGGAGAGACTGGATTAATTGGTTCTAATAGCAAATGTACAGCCAAGAACTGGAAGCTTCCAAATGCAGGCTGAATGTGGGAGATTGGGTGGCCTGTGCCTGGTATCAGCCAAAAGCCTCTTGAGCTCCTCACCCAGCCACCAGCTTCTTGATTGGCGTGGCACCTGATGGATGTTAGGATAGAAAGTGGTTAGTCCTGGACCACACAGGGCTTCTCCAAGAAGCTGCTGAGCCCAGTGTCTGGATGAATGAAAATGGACAGTAAATTGGTTTCTTGGTGCTTTTAGGGAAATACCTTGTTTAATCTGATTGAAGACATGTGCCAGCTGTACCTCCTGGCTTCTCCCTTCACCCTGAGTGAAAGTTCACAGGCTGTCCAAGCTGGGCATGCTTTAGAAATGTCACATCCAAATGCCTTGTGTGTGCTTCTCCCCAGGGCCCTTGGCCAGCCAGCCAAAGAAGGGCTAAGTCCAGACATTCCCTCCCCATCTTCAACAGTGCCTGAACTGAGCCCCAAACATAGTGACAGTGCACGGGTTCCTGCCACAAGCAGGCATTCCTTTCGACACAGTATATAGAAGCACTGGCCCATACCTCTAACGCTCCAGTCCTAGGAGGATGTATGAGCCAGAACCAGGTTGCTCTGCTAGCCTAGGTCCAACATGTCCATGAAGGACCCATGCAAGGACGCCCCTGTGCCTGGTGGTTTTGTTGTCACCTTTCATGACCAGGAAGTTCTTGCCTGGCCACCATCCATACCTGTGCCCTGGGAATGGCACAGGGTCATGAGATCGTCTCAGCTTGGACCCCACTGTGTCCCCCATGTCTACATGAGCACACAGTGTGGGCCCTACTTCCTCACCTGCTTCACTCGGTTTAGTGAAGAGTAAGACACACGCTTACTAAGTGACTCACAGAACTTGCCTGGGTCTGAGGAAGGTCCAACGGGATGTGAGTGCTAGGTGTGGGAGTGGCCATTCCTACGGGTGGGACCTGGATCCTGGGTCCGCTTTAGTGTACACATGCGTACTTCAGCCTGCTCCCTGAGAGCTCTGCTCTGGAAACCAAACAGGCTGCCCTCCAGGTACAGCCTCCACAGCTTCCTGGGTAGCCTGGGTGGTGTCACACTCACCTGTGGCAGGCTGGGAGGTGGGTAGGACTCAGGTTGGGGAGGATTTGCTGTCTGCACGAGAGGAGCTCTCACAGGTTGCGGATCTCAGGGACACATGGGTTCAAGAATCCATGAGTTCATCTGACTGCTGAGTTTGAGTCTCAGCTCCATCATGTAACAGTGGCTTGACTTTGGAGAAATTACTAAGCCTTTCTGTTAACATCCCCCTTACAGTTTGATCTGGTTGGCCTACCTTGGGCTCTACGCCTCCAGATCACATTGGCTCTCTGTTACCTTTAGTTTGAGTCTCACCTCATCAGATGCCATTGCCTGGGCTCATCCTGTGTGCCCTGCACATTTGTTCCTCCCCACAGCAGTGGTTCACAGGGGGCTCATTAGAGCACTGAAGAACACTACTGCCTCAAACAGAAGAGCTCCACAGTTTGTAGCCTGCAATGACAATGTGGGTTGGTGCCATTGAAATAGATGGGACTTGAGCTGGGGATTTAGCTCAGTGGTTTTGCTACCTGCCTCACAAGTGGAAGGACCCAACTTTGATCCCTGGTACCAAAAAAAAGAGAGAAAGAAATAGATGGGACTCAGTATAAGGGGCCATATAGTAACGTGTATCCATCAATGACAGGTGGATAAATAAGCTGTAGAGAGCAAAGGGCCATGGTTGGAATTCCTTGACCCATGGAGATCTCTGGCAGTGGTGAATCACCTACAGCATCCCAGGCATGCAGTTAATGGGTATCCTCTAGAGTAGTCTTTATTCCATGCAGGAAAAATGCACTCCGGTAGCAAAAATCCTAATGACTGGCCACAATGGAGAATCATGGTCTCCAATTCTGCAGATCTCAGTGGGGTCAGACCCAGACTGTGTGGCTTGAAGGGAAATCTATGTCTTGAGAAAGACTCCAAACTCCTGCTAGGAGATCACACCTCAATCCCCTCCACACCGCTCCTGAAGTGACTGCAGCCACTTACTAATGAAAGGGAAGCAACCTGGACCTCAGGGAATATGAGACACTGGGCCTGGATGACACTAACTCCTGGGAACCAAAACTAACCCTTGGCTCACTAGACCATGTAGGAATTTGTGATAGGTCTTAGCTTAACAGAGGACCTGAGTTCTCACAGTGGGCCCAAGTGGTACAGTGATACTCCCTGTAGTTTTTTTTTTCCTCCCCAGTTCCTGAGGGTGTAACTGAAACATATTTGGCCATTGGCCAAATCCTCTCATTGATTCTCTTACCTATGGGGTGATAAAAAAGCTGCATGAGAGTTTCTGGAATGGAAACAGTGCTGCATCCCTGAGAGAACAGAGCTTAGTGCTGCCACCGAAGGGTTGAAATGCCTGGAGCTGTGAAACTATCACAGACCCATTTAGCCAGCCTTCTTGGCCTGTGCTGAAGGACTGTGGATTGTGCAAATGTGAGCTACTGCTGATAAAGCCAGGTGGAGACTTCAACTGTAGCTGCCATGCCAGACGAGTGTCCCTCCTGCAGAAAATCACCACAGCCTTCTTGTGTTCTCCAGCTACTCATCTGACTAATGCCTTTCCTCCAAATCAGTGTGCGAGTTCCACCAGTGTGGGAAAATGTAGGATTTAGTTACTAATTATAAGAAGCTTGTGAAATGAGAAAATTAAGCAATTCTCTGTGAATGTCCTCAACTCTAGGACTTAGTTACTAATTGTAAGAAACTTGTTAATTGAAAGAACTAAGTAAATGTCTCAGAGAACATCCTCAGGCCTGTTTGCTGAAAGGATTGCTGAAAGCCTTAAAAGATGTTGTAAAAGTTCATAGGAAGTAAACATGTTTTCCTAAGCTCTCTTAGTAACCATTGTCCGGTGTCAGAGATCCGCGGCCCTGTGACTCTACAGATGGAGGGAAAGATTGTGGGCTTGATTTTTGCTGAAATCGCCCTGCTTTCTTGGGACATCTGATAGAGGAGGGCTGCGATGTACTCTTAGATATACGGCTCTGGTGAACAGAGACACGAGATGTGTAAACTTGCCTGTGGCTTTATGAGTTACTTGTTAACCTTTAAGACTAAGATAAATGTGACGATGCTGTAATGCTAAACAAAGGCCAGAGACGTGCAGGAATGTCACAGATGTTCTTTTGAGAAAACAAAGAATAATGATGTCAGAATTGCCTGTCGAAAATGTATAAAACCTGACTGCTAGACCCAATCTGGGTCGAAACAGAGAACAGTGACCTGAAGAAAAAAGGGCTGTTTCATCCCCCAGCTGTCTCCTTTTTTTTCTTTAAAGGTCGGTGCTCTCCGGGCTCTCCAGGTCTCCCTCTAGAGAGACCAACGACACACCAGAAGCAGTTTGCTTTCATTCAGCTGGGTGAGTGGTGTGCCCTTCTATTGTTCAGGGACAGATTGGTTCTGCTATGTGCAGTAACATTATTTGTAGAGATCTTGATCTTCTTAGCAGTTCCCTAAGCTGTCAGTGGTCTGCCATATTGATGACAGTACCCTGGTTAGATCTGACATAGCAAACACTTAATGAGACATATGCAACTCGAGGGTGGGAGATAAGCTCCACAGAAATTGGGGCCTTCCACCTGGAAGAGGCTTCAGGGGATACAAAGATAAATACCCTCACTTGAAATACAAGTGATTGCATTTTGTACCACCTCCATGAAAAAGAAGCATAACATTTAGTTGGGCTTTGGGGATTTCAGTTACAGGTGCCATCTTGGCATGTGCCACCTCAGTCTAGGAGGCTGGCAGGTTTGAGGTCAGGGAAAGATAAAGCAGTAGTGCACATTACTCTACTGCTTCTGGGTACAGTTGTGCATTGACCATGGGCCAAGGAAGACAATGCAGCCCTGTGGTGTCTGGCCATGGAGTTGAACATGTGGGTCCAGGGATGTGCTGTCAAGTGGGCATGGGGTAGGAGAAGGACATCAGGCAGATCTGAAGGTGCAGCAGACTGTGGGTGTCAGTGTCTCAGACTCCTTTGCCATCAGCTCCTTCCTCCTTTCTTGTAGTCATCTCCTGAGATATAGGTGGAAGAAAAATTCTGGAAGGAAACTACCTGAGCCTGGCTTATAGACGGGTCTGTACAATGTACTGATATGGCCCATGAATGGACAGTCAGTTGCAGCACTCAGCCCCACTTGAGAGCCCTGAGCATGGTAGTGAAGCTCACAGTGGACAGGAGTTTGAGGAGGATGCTTATCTGAGATGTGGCCAGAAGCATGGGTTTGTGGAGTCCTTTGTGGGCAGTAGCTAATGGTGTGGTTGGTCAAGTGTTTTGACCTCTAGCATTTCTTTTATAGTCTCAGAATTTGTATCTCTTCTTATGTTGCTTATCTGTTTTTGCATGCCATCTACTCTTTCTGTTAACATATTAGCTATAGCTTTTAAAAATTCTTAGTCTGATAATTCTAACATTCTTGTCTTACCTGACTTTGTCTTGGATGCTTGTTGAGGTTCTCCAAACTACTATTTGCTTTTTAGTATGCCTTGTAATTGTTTGTTGAAAGCTGAAGATGATGTATGAGGTAAAAGGAACTCCTGAAAATAAGCCTTTAGCAATTAGTATGGATTTTGTTTCTATAGCAAAATACCCAAGGCAGTCTATAAAGAAAAGAGGTTTACTTAGCTCACAGTTCTGGAGTCTGAAAGTCCAAGATTGGGCAGCCCATCTGCTCTGTTCCAAGGCTCCCCATAACTACTCACCACAGGGTGGATGGCATCATGGTAGAGATGTCAGCAAGAGGTGGAGATAGCATGGTGAGACTGTTACAGGAACTCAAGAGACTGGTGAGACCAATAGATGAAACAGGAGGATTTATTTAGGTGTACACTGACTCAGCAGACTCATGTCCAAAGGCCAAGCCATAACAAAGGAAGAGGTCCAATTTCATACATGTTGCTAAGGAGGTTGATCTACTTAGTGGTGTGTAACTTTGGACAAGCAAAATAAAGGCAGTTTGTCAAGCTGTGACAGTTTTGCAGCTTAACATATCCCAGTGGCCTTGGGCAGGTAAAAACAGGATGTTATGAGAACAGGGGGTTATAAAACTTTACTTACAGGGACAAAGTTACTGATTTAATCTGTATCAGAACAAAGAACAGCCATATTGCTTAGGTTGGAGAAACTTGTTTCTTTTTATTTTTAAATCCTGCTTTCAGGCAGGAACCCAGAATTGGGGTTCTTTCATAACAACTCCTGCAAGAGTAGCATTAATCCCTTCAGAGGGCAATGCCCCTTACCAGGCCCTACCTACCTATATCTATATTTTCTCTATTTATATCATATATCATATCATATCACATCATATCTCTCTATCTAATCTGTCTATTTTACAGTACTGGCAATCAGACCCAGGGTTGCTACCACCAAGCTACATTCACAGTTCCTTTAGTCTCACTAAGTTGCCCAGGTAGGACTTAAAGTTGTGATCCTCCTGCCTTAGTTTCTTTGAGTGCTGCACCTGGCTTAGGCCCCAGCTCTTAAAGTTTCCACCTGCTCCCAATGTCACTACACTGAGGACTAAGGTAGCATGTGGAACTTTGAGGGACACCCTCAACCCACATCCAGACCACAGCAGCAATCCAGTGGAGAGCTATGAAGGGTGTCTGTACCCCAGTGAGTAGGTCTCAGTCTGTTGTTGAGCGTGTGCCCCTATGAACTTCTCATATGCATCTCAGTCTTCTCCTGCCCCCAGCATGGCCAGAAAGGACTGGAATTGAGAATTCCCAGCTGGCTATGCCATAGCATACTACTAAAACAGTAGTTTTATAATAAACTACTAAAATAGTAGTTTCTCTTGAAGACAGACCTTGTTAAGGACAGAGTACTCTGGTGTATTTCAGAATGGTTCCTTTTTTCCTCCCTGTACCAAAGCACAGAGACTCTTCTACAATATTTACTCCTGTAGGTAAAACTCAAAAATATGAGGCCCCCATGCCTTAGTCCTCTGGAGTTTTTATCTCTGAGCATTTTCACTGACTACTGAGCCTCTGGTGATCTGTCAGTGACAGTTCAGGTTTTTTTACCCTGGTACCACAGCCCTGAGCCTGGAAGTTTCTGGTCAGATAATTTGTGATTCTCTTTCCCCACTGTCTGTCTCTCCAGTTTTAGGACAACAATTTGTCTGTGACCTCACTTTTCTGATGGATCTGAGAAGATTGTATATTTCTAGTTGTTTAACTTTTTACTTATGTGGAGAGGGTGAAGACCCTAAGCTCCTTATGGCCTGGATCCCAAGCCAGAATGAATAATTATTTTTGAATATATAAAAGCCTCAAACTGATTATATTATCTTTCTGTCACTCTGACAAAATCTCTGACAAAATCAACTTAAAGGAGGAAGGGTTGAACATGCCAAATCAGCCCGCTGCAGACAGGCAGGTCTGTGGACACCCTACCAAGGTCCTGAGTTGCGTGGAACACACAGAATCAGCCTGCGCCCCGGCAACAATCCGCTGGACATCCCCCCCCCCCCCGCCTCGCTTCTCTGTACAGCCACCTGGTTCCACGCTACAAAGACACAGAGGACACTGGACCACCAGACCACGGTACTGAGTCCCGCTGCTCCCGGCCCAGAAGTAGGGGCTTCTGAGCCACCGTCCCACTGCTCCTGGTCCAGAGGAAGGGGCTTCCCAGCCACCATCCCTCCTGCTGCTTCCAGTCCAGAGGAAAGGGCTTTTGGGCCACCTTCTGTCCTGCCACTCCTGGCCCAGAGGAAGGGGCTTCCAGGCCACCATCCCTCCTGCTGCTCCCAGCCCACAGGAAAGGACTTTGGGCCACCATCCCTACCACTGCTCCTGGCCCCTGTCCCACCTCTCCCAGCTCAGAGGAGGTAATCTGTGCAGGCGCCAACAGCCCCAGCCCCCGCCCCGCCCCGAGTCGAAATGAGAAAACACGTAAACGAGTCTCAAAACCAGACTTCCAGATCACCTACAGCAACCCCAAAGGGAAATGAGATGGAACACTCTGGTACTCAACCACCTGGACCCACTGAACTGGCAAAGGAGGAAGGGTTTATTTTGACTTGTGATTTCAGAGCTTCTCATCCATGGTCAGCTGGTTCCATTGTTTCTGGGCCTGTGCTGAGCTATAGCATCATGACAAGGAGATATGGTGGAAGAAACTGTTCACCTTATGGCTGGCAGCAGTCAGAGAATGAGACAGCTGGAGAGGAAGGGGCTGGGGACCAAAGACTTAAGCCTCAAGGTTATACCCCAAGATTGGCCCCACCTCCTGTTTCCATCACCTCCTAATTATGCCATCAAGGTATGAACTGATAAAATGAGGACTCTCACGATCTAATTATTTCCCAAAAGCCCATTAGCAGGGTGATGGAAGTTCAGACTCAGCTGTGCCTGTCTATAACACCCCGAATGCCAAAAGCCTCCATGTGATCTCTGACCAAATGGTCAGGCTTGCTGATTTGGCTGCCCCAGGGCCCAGCTTTATCACAGCAGGGAAGGTGCTTGGCCTCCCAGACCAGGGTGCCTTTTCCACCCAGGCAGTAAGCAGGGAACCTGGAGGGTCCACAGGTACTTCTCTTTGGCCCGGTCACTTGAGAGCTCCTTCTCTCTCCACCCTAGTTCTCCACTCAGCAAGCTCCTGGCTCTGCTGCGTGAGGCTACCATTCGCAGGCCTGGCAGCACTGCCTAGGGGCAGGAAGAGGTCATTCTGGCCTGCCAGTCAGGAGGAAAGGCCTCAGGCAGCAACATTGTTTTCTTACACAAAGGACCAGTGCCACCCTGCTCACGAGGTTGGTTCCAGTGGCTGGTGTCCACAGGAAGAAAGGAGGCTGTGTTCTACAGGAATGCAGGAGAAGAGACAAAAGCTTCTGTGTAGTAGTGAATGCAGTGTTGATACAGGGAAGGTTAATGACTCCTTTCCTAAACAATGCAGCTACCAGCCCTAAGAGGCCATGCCACAGAGGCTACCTGGAGCCTTGGAGCTGTGTTCAGTTCCTACTTCTCCAGAGAGATGTTGGCAAGTGACATCTTTCTTAGCTCAGTAGAGAAGCACTGTGCCTCAGGATTGTTAAAGGAGTAAATTAAGAGTGGTCAAATGAACTCCTGGTACATGAGACAGCCAAAGCAAGCAAAGAACAGCAGATAATAGAACAAGATATCCTTACAAGCCAGATATGTTAGGGTCCAAAAGTGCAGGATGAACTCACTGGCTAATTTAGAATGAGTCCAGGAGCCCCCTTTTGGCAAATGGTGATAGAATATCAGTACTTTATGGATATCACATTCTATTATTTTTGCACCACTTCAAATTTCATAAATCCATTTGATTTCAGTCTGAAATCAGTATCTCTTCCAGAAGAGCGGTCACAGCATGGAGCATGGAGCCTGGAGCTCAAAGCAGCCTGAGGTTCATTCCTCTGCATCCATGGCAATTGAGTGCCAGCTCAAAACAACTGGGCTTTTGTTTTTGTTTTCTTTCTTTTTACGTTCTTAGGAGGGACTGGAGGTGGAGGCTGAAGAGAGCCACACAAAGCCATTTTCCCAGCATTTGTGCCTGTGAGGCTTACTGCTCAAGAGACCATCACTGTGATGTTTGAGCTTTTGCTGGGGAAGATATTCAAAGGAAAACTGTGAGTCTTGCCTTTTGTAGATTCTGCCATAAATATTTCTTTTCATTAGTTTTCATAACTTAAGAGATGGTCATGTCTTTTGCTTTTGAGACGAACACTTTAGGTTAAAGATGCTGAACAGAGGATGGCACTGTATTTACATTTTAGTATGACTGAAATATGTCCACAGGCATATTTATTATCTAATAGTTTGAGTGCTAATGTAAGTGAAACATTAGAGGATACATAGATAAAACTATAGAAAGAATTTTTTTGGAGTTAAAGTAACCTCCATAATAAAATCAATATGATTTTTGTAATTTTTATAACATGCTAACATTAAGTTTAACATTTATCTGTCACTATACTTCTAAATGTGTCTTGTGAAATATATATAACCATTTTTTTTTTTGGTACCAGGGATCCAACTCAGGACCTTGTGCTTGCAAGGCAGGCGGCAGAATCACCGAGCTAAATCCCTGGCTCTAATGTATTTTTAATATACTGAAGCATTTTTCAAGATTTCATGGGCAAGATTCTTTTTTTTTTTTTTGGTACCAGGGATCAAACTCAGGACCTTGAGCTTGCAAGACAGGCACAGTGCCACTGAGCTAAATCCCTGGCCCTCATGTACAAGATTCTTGCAGCAATCTTCTGGATTCATCCTGTGGGGTCCTTGAGTGGGCTGGGCCTTCCCTGTGGGGCTCCTCAAAAAGGAAAAGAGGCCCTGTTTGCCTGAGCTGCACCCCTGCTTCCTGGCGGGCTGTGGGACAGGCAGACAAGGACTGTGTTGTGGTGATCACAATTTTTCAAAGAAAAATTCAAGCCCCTGGGGATGAGAGTGTGCACACAGTGTTGAACCCCCTCCAGGAATGAGACAGGCTGCTGCCTGTGCAGCCAGCACCTACTGTGTGGCTCTGCCTTCAGCCTGCACTGAGCAGGTTACAGGTCAGGCCAGAGAGTCCACCCCGAGCAAGGTCTTGGGTAACTGTTTCATGGGCAGACTTTGCAACCTAACAACCAGCTGAATCCCTGGGAGGGTGATCTGTGTGCCCAATGTTCCCCACCTGGGCATATTGGTGTTGATGCTCCCACCAGGTAGAGGGCTGCTGCCAGGTCCTGTGGTCAGCACTTCTCAAACATGAGTGTGCTCTGTTGCCCAGAGCTGGTTCAGAGTGTCACCTAGATCTTAGAGGTTGAGGGTTCCCCAGAGAGTGATAAGATACACACTGGGCTTGTTTCTGTTTGTGGAGGTGTCATTTGGGGTGAGACTCATTCTTGGTTCAAATAGAGTCCTCAAGGGCTGCAAAAATCACTCACAGGACAAGTCATACCCAGAAGAAAGCATAAGCATGGGAATCCCTGACAAAGATAGAAACTCAGCAGGTGTCTCAGAGCTCAGCCTCTCTAAGATATCAGTATTTCTTCACTATCAAGGAGGAAACAGGTTATAGAAGGAAAGTAATGTAGTCTGGTGACATCATTGATAAGGGGCAAAGTCAAGCTTTGCACCTGGGTTTGTCCCTAGAGTCCAAGTCCCTATTGTGCTGCAATGCTGCCCTCAGGCCCTGCAGCACATGGAAATACCCTGCTCCTCAGAGACACAAAAGTTTTCTTATATGATTTTTTGGTCATAGTTCTTTTTGTAAATTCAGTATTTTTTACTAAGTCTTTTAGGAAAGATGTAAATAAAAGTGAAAGGAAGGTGAGTGCCATGGTGTGAATGTGTCCCATACATTTGTACGCTGTAAACTTCATATCCAGTGCAACTGTGTTGACAGGTGGACCTGTACAAGGTGATTTTCCATGTGGGCTCTGCCTTGGACTGTCACCATTACAAAAGTCAATCTGTTGGCTGTTCCACCACTCCCAGCCCAAAGGTAGGGGCTTCTGGGCCGCTGTTCCACTGCTTCCAGCGCCGAGGAAGGGGTTTCCAGGTCACCATTCCACCACTCCCAGCCCAGAGGTAGAGGCTTCCAGCCATTCCACCACTCCCAGCCCAGAGGAAGGGGCTTCCAGGCTGCCATTCCACCACTCCCAGCCCAGAGGAAGGGGCTTCTGGACTGCCATTCCACTGCTCCCAGCCCAGAGGTAGGGGCTTCTGGGCCATTGTTCCACCTCTCCCAGAGCATAGGAGGTGAGCTGTAAGGGCACCAACAGCAACCCCCTTCCCCCGTCAAAATGAGAAGACATATAAACAAGTTTCAAAACCGACTTCCAGATCACCTACAGCAACCCCAAAGGGAAATGAGACAGAACACTCTGATACTCAGCCACCTGGACTCCCTGAACTGTCAAGAAAAGAGGATCTGGAAAAAATGAAATCAGATATAATTTCTCAGATAACAGCAGTGATTGTGCCCATAGTGCAAGACATGATTAACATATATAGAGAGGACACAGATAAAAAAAATAGAGGCGCTGAGAAACATGATGGATTCCTAACATAGGAAACAAATGGAATCCATAAAACAGATGCAAACAGATTTCCAGGAGATCAAAAACTCCACTGAAAGTCTACACGCAGAATGAGCCAATGTGAGGACAGAATTTCAGATATAGAAGATAAGATTGGAATTAGTGACCAGGAAAAAAAAATTGCTTCAAAATTGTAAGGGACCATGAGAAATCAATCCAGCAGCTGCTAGATAATGCAAAGAAGATTAACATAAGACTGATTGGCATCAATGAAGAAAAAGGAGAGAGTGCAGATGACATTAAAAAATTGTTCACAGAAGTAATGGCAGAAAACTTCCCAAGCAGGGGAAAAGAATTTGAAATACAGATAAGTGAGGCATATAGGACTCCACCGAGCCTTGATCAAAAAAAAAAATCTACACATAGGCATATAATTGTTAAGATTCCTGAAACCCAACAGAAGAACAAAGTTCTACAAGCAGTTAGAGAAAAGAAACAAATCATGTACAAAGGAAAGCCCATCAGAATCACAGCAGAC